TTGCTTGCTAAAAGTACAAAAAGTTTAGGCCACCCTATCGTTCCTTGTCCAGCATTCGGAAAGCAGGGAGGGAGGAAGGAAGAAAAGATGGAGGAAGGGAGTGGCTCACAGGTTTGAGGTCGCAGTGGATAATTCTCTCCCTCCTCAGCAACTTGAGACAGTGCAACAGCGAGTAGGCAAATCTTCTGATGAGTGAAGTGCTGAATCCTTGGAAATTGTTCCTCTTTATCAGCTCATACAAATTCATCCTAGAGATAAGAACAATGGCATTAGTCATGTGACTTTTCATGGGGCATGTGATTGGTCATGTGACTTCTCATGGGTCACATGATCTCTCATGTGATTGGTCATGTGACTCACCCCATGAGTTCAAAGTTGATGCAGAGATGGTTTCTGAAGTAGAAATAATCGATCATGTGAATGATGTTGTACTGGTTGTCGTGGTCCTGCAGTCACAATGGGGTTAAAGGTATCATTCACAATGGGGTTAAACTACATCATTCCAAAAGGGGTTTAATGGAAACCTCAGTTGTCGACAGAGAAATGTTCCTGTATTGGAATGCACTTCATAAGAAAAAAATTTGCTTTATTGACAGTGGAGTATATAATAACCAAGCGTTTCGCTGTATTTCTAGTATCACACGCACACACACACACACACACACGCACACACACACACACACACACACGCACACACAGTGATTGGTGGATCGGTTTCTCTTAAACATCGCAAACAAACTATTCAGTGGCATGTAAACTCTAACAACTGTTTACACAGCCCCATAATATGTAAACATACACACAAAACATACAGTAAAGGGTTCGTCTGAGAGGCACTATTTTATCACCACCTACAGTAGTGCAGGTATGAATGTGTGGGCAGCAAATTGAGAGTAAAAGAATGAGTGAAATTCCCCAGACACATAGGCTAGAGGAGACACCTGGACTGCTGCCTCCACATGCATGTACGAGTGTATGTATTGTACACATGAAAACACAATACAAGATTAACAAGCTCGTTACAACATACACATCTAAACTACAGGAGTTACAAGCATATTCCAAATACTGCAGCAGTAGCTGCAAGATATACAAGCTCTGGAGAAAAGTGTGTGGGGGGGGAGGGGGGGATGCTCTTACACAACTGAAGATGTGCAATACGGGTTTTACAACTATCCACAGCTAATAGTTCTAGAGGCAACAATGCACAGCTATAACTAGCTGCAAAAGTTACAAACGATAGCTACATGCGTACACATCTGATGTACAAAAGTTCAAGTGGAACTCTAAACATTCAGTCAGTAATTCGGATCATTCAGTCAGACACATGCAGTGGGCACCACTAACGAGAACAAAGCCAGCTATCTGGCAGAGGGAGTGTTAATTCATCAAGCAAATTTGTAGATGTTTTTGATACAGCGGATGTCCTTATTTGGCAATTTACTGCCGCCCAGATGTCGTAACAACTCAGATGTGTCCTTAATTATCAATTACGTCAGTTTGGCGACATATAATTACGGGGACGGATGAGGTTCCATACTATTTTTCAAAGGACTCAATGGCATAATAGGTAAAGTTGACACAATTCACTTTGGACATTCCTTATAGAGAAACTGCACCAGTGTGGACGTAGGTATTTAACGGATATACGAATGGGCCAATAGATCGTTTAAACTTGTAAACTTCAAAATAGAGCTGTGCTCGGAACGCCACAATACAAGGGTGTCTAACGCGCGTAGATTTCACACTCTCGGTGTATAACTATTATTATAATTTTAGCCTAATTAATGCTCACCTTTTTTCTAAGTGAGTCCAGAATCTTGACCTCCACGAGCGCCTGATGGTGAAATCTCTTCTTGTTTCTGATGATCTTTATCGCCACGGGCTGTTTCGTTTTGTGGTCGAAACACTTCACCACTTGGCCAAATGAGCCTTTTCCGATGACTTCGCGTATCTCGTAGCGATAGGCGATGTGGTCGTGGAGGACTTTGATGTAGCTCCCGTTCTCGTCGTCGTAGCCTAGTTTGGTGAGGAGAAGAGGAAGAGGAGGGAGAGGAGGGAGAAGAGGAAGAGGAGGGGAGATAGAGACAAAAGAGGGAATGCAGTAAGGTTATATGTTGAGCACATATGGTGTATGTACAGCGGAACTCCTCTAATCCAGACACCAATGGGACAGAAGAAAGTGTCCATATTAGTGAGGTGTCCTGAGCATTATACAGTGGAACCTCTCTAATCCAGACACCAATGGGACGGAGAAAGTGTCCATATTAGTGAGGTGTCCTGAGCATTATACAGTGGAACCTCTCTAATCCAGACACCAATGGGACAGAAGAAAGTGTCCATATTAGTGAGGTGTCCGTATTTCAGGGGTTAATTAAATTGCATGCAAGAACTGTTCTTGGGGGAAAGTAAAGGTGTCTTGGCCGTATAGAACTTTAATTTCGTGGCATTTAATTTTCGCTGTTTTCCTGGAAAAATAGCCATCCACGAGACGGTATTTCAGGGGTGTCCTTAGAGTGAGGTACATACAGAAAAATGGCACAACTTAATTAGACAACTATTCACTTGCTAATAATCATCAATTTTTAAATCTTGTCTGACCGGCATTCTGGCTGGCTCCATGCTCAGCCTGGATCTTCTTCGACTCGAGGCCGAGGTACCAGATCTCGGGGTACTCCTCGATCTCCTTCCTCTCGAAGGGGGAGAGATGGAGGCCGTACTCTTGTTTACAGACCTGGGGGGTGAGTGGGAGACGATGGACCTGGCCGCGCGGGGAACACCCCTGATCAGAACCTGCGTCACTGGGAGGGGGAGGGGGAGGGGAGGAGGGAGGGTGGGAGGTAGTTGTGTATGAAAGTTGTCCTTGGTGTAATGTGTTGCCTTGAGACTTGTTGTTGAAATAGGTACAATAAACGGAAGGAGACTAGTGATTGGTGCAGAAGGGTGTGTCCATTTTTGCTTGAACGGAAGCAGCTACAAAGATGCAGTTTTTGTCACTGCGTGCGTTGCGCATTCAAACCACACGTGTGCAACTCAATTACGAATTTTCGGGCGGAATTGTACCTTTTTCAAGAGCAGGTCACGTGTGCAGTAGTTTTGAGGTTCAAAGTGGAGTGGATCACGTCACCACTTGTTCCACGAGGTGCAGATCATTGCATATTTTCACGGTGTAAAATATTTCTTTAATTTGATCACAACCATGAAAGACGCACTTACAATAAAATGCCGTTGACCATGGCAAATTATTGAGGTGTAAAATTGTGGATCGGCAGTTTTTTTATAAATTCTATTTGGCAGAGGTATACCCTTACATTCTAGTACTGGTGTTCATTATCATGAGTGTGAATTTTATAGATCGAGAAATGAAGATGGAGAAGACGGCATTACCTGGGGGTGTGGCGGGGGGAATCCCCTGAACCAGAGCTGACCGGTCTTTGTTGAGGTTGAGGCTGGAAGGGAGAGAGAGAAGAGAGAGGAAGGGTGGGAGAGAGAGAGAGGAGGGAGAAGAGGGAGAAGTGGGAGAGAGAGGGAGAGGTGGAGGAATTAGTAAGTGTGAAGAATTTACAGCTATGGTATAAACTGATTGCCAAATTATCTGTTTTGGAGATAGTTGGATAGTTTGCTCCACACTTGCCTTGCGTTGACACCCCGTAATTCATGCACTCATTTGTGTCATGTGATCAGTCACATGATCACCCACACACCCAGTGGGAGAGTCAATTGAGGTTCAAATCTAATTAACAAGAGTTCAGTTATAAACCTGAAACACGACCCAGTCACTATTAATTATATCGCAGCTCTATAAATATCCTTCAACCTCTTCCTGCTATAAATACCACTCCCATATAGTGTTCCATGCTATATAATATGAGTGTAGCCATTACAATATTGCTCATTCCCAGGTGATTGGAGTAATTAGCCTGACGCTACCCACATACGAATTCCTCTGGTATCTCCGTCGTAAACAAGCCTACATGGCCACCAACAACCACACACAACCTAAGGCCAGCATAATGGTACATACATGGTCTAACTTTGCTGCTTGCCTCAACTTAACACTTTACCAGCCACGGACGGACACATGTGTCCAGAGCCTCCATAAGTCCATAATATAAGGGTTACAATACTAGGCGCTAATACTTTATACATCAATTTAAGCAGATACCCACGGTGTCCAAAGGGTTAAATGTGAATGTATGGTTATGATGGTCAGCGTAACATGCTGCTTGAAAATAGAAGTGTTGTCTATTGCACGAAACAGCTACAGTGTTTAAACTCCCACCAGGTTTTGTAACTCCTATAGACAACTGCTTATAGAGTGTCGGTAAATCCCATAGACCACCGCTATAGTGTTTTTAACACCCATACACAATGGTAAGGCATTGCTTGAGTATTAATGGTAGAGTATTTGTAATTTCCATACGTATTCAACCTGAAGGCTACTACAATCCCCATAGACCACTAAATCCATTTAGAGCCTTAAACAAGGCAGTGACATAATTCGTAACTATGACAAACTTATGCCAAATTTAGCACACCACAATACACAGGTAAGGCAGGGGCTAAAAGGTTAAACGGGAGATTTGAAAAAGACGGAGAGAGTATAATGAGATTGTGGTTGGTAACCAGTGGCGGTGTCTGGTCTACTTGTCAGTGTGTGTACGTTAGCTGTGCCAACTGCATTCCTCTGGACTGGAATGGGAGAATGGGGGAACGGGGAATGTGGGTATAGGAGAATGGGGGAATGAGGATTATACCAAACTAACCCTTCCCTAGTGGAACTCCTCTAATCTGGACACCAATGGGACAGAATGAAGTGTCCATATTAGTGAGGTGTCCTGAGCATTATACAGTGGAACCTCTCTAATCCAGACACCAATGGGACAGAAGAAAGTGTCCATATTAGTGAGGTGTCCTGAGCATTATACAGTGGAACTCCTCTAATCTGGACACCAATGGGACAGAAGAAAGTGTCCATATTAGTGATCCAATGACTCAGAGGAATGGTATAGTACCAAAGAAAAGGCATTAGAGAAAAAATATAAGGAATTGATATCTGTAGTGTCTATATGCATTAGTCTCACAAATGCGGCCACGAGCCAAATTGGCTAACACTTATAAAAACAGCAGCTACTTATAGTATTACTGTACATTATAAATGGGCACCTTTGAGACATCACGTGTCTGAATAAAGGACATCACGTGTCCTTTATTCAGAGGTGTCCCTTAGTCTGAGGTAATAATGTATTAGTGACCATTGAAATCCCATAGTTCCCTCACACGGAGTAACTAACTTATATTATTATATGTAGAGGTGTCCTTTATTCAGAGGTGTCCCTTAGTCTGAGGTAATAAGGTATTAGTGACATTGAAATCCCATAGTTCCCTCACACGGAGTAACTACTTATATATTATTGTAGAGGTGTCCTTTATTCAGAGGTGTCCCTTGTCTGAGTAATAATGTATTAGTGACCATTGAAATCCCATAGTTCCCTCACACGGAGTAACTAACTTATATTATTATATGTAGAGGTGTCCTTTATTCAGAGGTGTCCCTTAGTCTGAGGTAATAATGTATTAGTGACCATTGAAATCCCATAGTTCCCTCACACGGAGTAACTAACTTATATTATTATATGTAGAGGTGTCCTTTATTCAGAGGTGTCCCTTAGTCTGAGGTAATAATGTATTAGTGACCATTGAAAATCCCATAGTCCTCACACGGAGTAAACTAACTTATATTATTATATGTAGAGGTGTCTTTATCAGAGGTGTCCCTTAGTCTGAGGTAATAATGTATTAGTGACCATTGAAATCCCATAGTTCCCTCACACGGAGTAACTAACTTATATTATTATATGTAGAGGTGTCCTTTATTCAGAGGTGTCCCTTAGTCTGAGGTATAATGTATTATGACCATTGAAATCCCATAGTTCCCTCACACGGAGTAACTACTTATATATAATGTAGGTGTCCTTTATTCAGAGGGGTCCCTTAGTCTGAGTATAATGTATTAGTGACCATTGAAATCCCATAGTTTCCTCACACGGAGTAACTAACTTATATTATTATATGTAGAGGTGTCCTTTATTCAGAGGTGTCCCTTAGTCTGAGGTAATAATGTTTAGTGACCATTGAAATCCCATAGTTCCCTCACACGGAGTAACTAACTTATATTATTATATGTAGAGGTGTCCTTTATTCAGAGGTTTAACTAAAGTACCAAGGAATTGGAGATATGTGTGTGTTGGGCCTCTCACAAATAAACCAGCCAACCTAATTGGCTATAGAGGCACACGCATGCGAACCCAGGGAAGGTCCGTGGGGATAAGACCCAGCAACAACACACGGCAACACACACAAACAGAAGGAGGCCTCATCAGACGGTGGTTTGTATGGCAGGCATATGCTACACTCAGATGCCAGATACCTCGACCATAACAAGAGAGAGAGAGAGAGAGACTGAACTTCTCAAAACTCGCAGCAAGGTTAGCGCATGCGTGAACATAAAAACCGTGATATTTTCGTCGAAAGCGTCATGCTATTTTGGTACATACAGCTGGTTACAAGGAAATAGTTTACCTTGCCACGCCTTAGCCACAGTGCCAATAATGCACAAAATTAATGAGGCTCGTTATTTTATCCATACTTCGATCCACCTCCGCGTACTGCTGTAGGTAAACTTATGGACGGATTGATAGTATATACAGTGTCGGGCTTTTGGCAGGTCGGATCGGTTGCCAGGTAAGATCAGGTACACTTCCATCATCTTGGCAAGACTGACACCAGCAACATAAATTTATCTCAGAGCCTTCGCTCTCTCTCTCTCCCTTGGTATACACAAGACTAAAATACTCAAGGTACCCTCTCTCTCTCTCTCTCTCTCTCTCTCTCTAGTCTCTAGTGCAGGGACGATACAGTACATAACATGAGAACGTGTGTAAGTATCGAGTTTTGACTCCTGACAAAAGCTGGTTCTTTCTTTTTTCCTCTCCTAGACTCTACTAGCTGACGATTGTACACGATGCCTTCTCCGTGGTACTCCTCCTCTGCCCTCTCTCTCTCTCCTTCCTCTCTCTCATAACTCTCTCATCTCACCAGCGGCCCAGTGGCACTGTCCCTCCTACTGCTGGCAGAGCTCATCTCCACACTTCTCTCTCTTCTCTATCTCCTCTTCCAGCTGCCTGCCCGTCTTTCCGTCTTCCCCACAACTGGTGTACAACTCTCTCTCTCCTCTAACATAAGTGACTCCAAAGTCTCCCAAGATTTGGACAGTGCTCTTCAAAACCAACACTCCACATCAGCCAAACAAACTTGCAGTTCCGTAACACTTTCAACTGCAGCTCCAGGTTCTTGTAGTGATAATAGAAGGCTAGACAAGACTAATTTGAATATTCATGAGCCAGTTTTGAGTTGTCAAAAGCAGTTTTCTTTGTAAAGACAGTGACAGAGAGAGAGACACGCAGCAAGCCGACTGACTGTTACTACACACGTACTGAACTGTGCAAGGTTGTGGGAAGAGCAATTTGGAATGCAGCTGGGTCGACTTGGCAACCCGCCAGGAGCACAGTAATCCCCAGTAAACTCTAGTAATCTACCCGGGTCATGCCAGTAATCTCTGGTAAATTCCTCTCTGGCAGCCACAGAGTGCAGTGAGTGTTGTCGGCGTAATATGACACCTGTAACCACAAATATGCGGTGCTAAAATCAGACCCATTCTTCTCTATCACAAACAGCCAGTGGGAGGAGGACTGGAATACCATACTTACACCATTCGGTGCAGGGAAACGGGTTCTGGAAACAGGTTTGCGGGGAGTGTATAGAGTGGCCTGATGGAGGCATCATGTGGGAGTGAGTGTGTAGTTTACTCTAGTGGAAACAGCTGCAATGGAAGTTTGGGTGGGAGGGACTTTAGCGACACACTCAGCCGTGAAAATGAATAGTTTATACACATTGTGTATATAGTACTCATACGTATATAGTAGGTGTAATACACAGGACATATTAATGTTCTTGTATAGATGCACATATAAACTCTCGCATGTCAAGAGTTAACCTTTACAACTGACGACTACTCTATTTAGAGCACATTCGTAGTGTGTGGTTGCCAAGGCAATGGCCAGTAAACATTAAAGATCATGGTATCATGAGTTTTATAGTGTATTATTTGTCTACACACAGTAACTCAAGATTACTGACTTCATTTCAGTAAACTCGAAGATTACTGATGCTAGTCACTTACCAAACGGTAAAACAAACCCAACAAGTCAGTAAACTCACACGTCAGTAAACTTGAGGATTACTACTAACCCAACATGTCAGTAAACTCGGAGATTACTGAAACTCACCATCCTCCTATTTCGCGTGTTGGGAGACAGGATTGTCTGACTCCGCCCCCTCGTTCTGGCACCACCTCCGGTGCCCGCGGCAACCCCACTACGATATTGCAGCTGCTGTTGGGGTGAGACAAAAGAGGGCGGGCCATCTGAGCTGTTATTGCGGGAGTAGATGCGGGGGAGAGGGATGCGAGAACCGTGACTGGTGAAGGAGGAGGAGGGAGGGGGGAGTTCAGTGTAAGTGGGGACGGAGGGGAGGGAGAGGGGAGGAGCGGGCGAGGTGTCTGGGGATGACAGGTGGTTCGAGCTCGACCTCTGAGGTAAGGAGATGAGAGAGATATAGTTGGTATAATTATATATACGCAGAAATTTTGAGGTAAAATTGTCAATTGACGATGAGTCATACGAAACTGCACATACTGCTGTGTACATATAAACAATTTCTGATATTGGAGTTTTCGCATTCTTTTGCTTTCGTTCTTTTATACAGCATGTGAGGGAAAATAAAGGACAGCCACTCATTCGGAATACCCTGATTACACCTGGTGATTGCTTTCGTACTTCTATACGGCTTGTGAGGGAAAATATTGTACGATAAAGCGTCAATTTTTTCACTAGCGGTCTCCAAAGTTGAGAGAGGTTACGTACACAGACATCAAGCGACGCTTATACTTTTGGAAATAGCTCATGTCAACGAAGTTTGTGAAAATTGTACTGTATTTGTAACTGAGTGAAACCACCGTCACCACACATACATGTGCATAATAGAGCATCCGTACTCTAACATGTAGACTCATTACGTAATCTTATGTACATAGTGTATGCACGTGGAGAGTTTGTCACATTGAGACTAAGTCTGAGTTGGGAAAGATAAAAGTCTAGAGATCAGCTATATACACTCAACGCTGCATCCACATGCATTGTAGCAATGTAGTTTGGGGCATAATGCCCATAAAATAGTAGCATTAGTTGACTTATGGCTTTATTGCCTCAGGCTGTTTGTCCTCGTTGCTGGTAAAGCCAGATACTGTACGTATGTAAACCCACCACATTGGCTCTGAGGGGATGTCTCATGGATCCAGCTCTGGGCTTGAGTCCATCACTCCTCAACGTTCTCTCTCTTGACGTGGCCTGGAAGAGGAGGAGCGAGATTAGCAAGATCTTTTCACCGGCAAATTCCGCCGTGGTGAAATCCCTGATGGCATTCCGAGCACATCCAGAGAAGCAGTAGCACAAAAAGAGAATAAGGCGAGGTCTTCATATGTCGCATTGCCTGGCGTGGTTGTATATGTCGTAGTGCCGCGTCATGCCGTGCCGAGGATAGAACTTCTTGGCACGATGCGAGGCAATACGACATATTGTGAACTCAGCCTTATAAACATGCACAAACAATGTAATATCAAACGCTGTTGGCAGATTGAACGGTTGGAACGATTTTGGAACAATTTTACTTCTACTGAACCGCAAGAGCTAAACTCATAAACAGTATTTAAACTAACGGGAGGAGGTGGCAATCTCTTAATCTCAGTGGAGGTAACGAGATACGACCTTTCCAAATCCTGTGGCGGGAGATATAAGTAACTTACGACACCGGACCAGTTACATAACGAGAGGGGCTTACCAGTTTCCCAGGAGGTCTTATTCTACTTGTGGGAATACCGCTTTGAGGAGGTGTGATGCTTACGGTTAGACCCTGGAAGAGAGGGGGGAGGGGGAATCTCTTTCGCAGCGGGCGTTTGCACCAATAGGAGGAACTTGCTCATGCAGAAGTCTGTATATACACTTTTTCAGTAGTAAAGGGAACGCGTCAGTACGTAAGAGCTAAATTTAGAAATGTTACTAAAGATAGAACTAAACAGGTGCAAGAATGCAATTAGGTTTCGGTTTTCAATTTCTAAATCTATATAGTCCTTATAATTATACTGCCATTATTTCCTTTGTAAAGTTTACTTTCTCTTTGCTTTCTCTCTTTTGTATATAGCTACTGCATGATATGGCATGGACATACACTACCACAGACCGTGCAGGAACAACAGGAAAGAAGTAGCTGAAAATGGTACATACGTACGTACGAAGATTGTGAACTTACTGGTGAATATTTGGACGTTTCTAGTGACTTTGGCACCGGAATTCTGCTACCACCTGTGTCACTGTGGCAACCAGTATACAACAGCCATCATAATACAAACCAATGTCACTGCTACTAGCTATTTCTCTGACTCACAGTGTGTTGGACGAAGAGTTTGTGATTTTCCCGGCACCCTGACAGTTCCACTGCACAAGACCATAAAACAAACCGACAGTGCTATAAATAGTTTACAACACCTCTTTCCGATACTTTCCCCAGGGATTTCCCCCTCCTTTGTTTTAATAAACCTCGTAAAAAACAACAGCAAAGGCCCCCAAACTGCCCCTTTTACTCTTTTACGTTTGATCGCTGTCCCTCTTTCACCCACACACTTTTACTTAATTCCCCTCCCTCCCTCTCTCTCTCCCCTCCCTCCCTCCTTCTCTCCCTTCCCTCTCTCCCCTCCCTCCCTCTCTCGTCCCTCCTCCACATCACTTCCACTACCTCCCCTCTCCCCTCCCTCCCTCTCTCCCCTCCCTCCCTCTCTCCCCTCCCTCCCTCTCTCCCTCTCCACTAACAGTGTTTTTGCCGGAGACGGCTTGTCTAGCTGTGGCTCGCCTCCATTGTGAAGTGGACAGAGGTGTGCTCCTAATAGAACCTGTCGTCTTTCTCGACCCACTGTTACCTCCATTACCGCCACTAGAGGGCCTCTGAAGATAGCTGTGGAGTTTAGAAGAGCAATGATTTCGTCTGATTTCTTACTTGAAACGCATTTCCGCTCTGAAAATTAGTCATCCACATGCAGACAGCAAATTTGTTCATCTTCGCTCCAAAACATTATGCAATAATAATGTGCGCATTGTCTAGCTGTTATTTATAAGAACTGTACATCTCAGTCTCTTAGGGACATAAGAGATTAAACAAGGCAAGGCACCGAAGTATTGCAAGAAGACAGCAGAGATATTACACTAGAGGAACAAGAAGGTTACAGATATTACATGATATGAACAAGAAGGCTACAGATATTACATGAAAAAGGCTACAGATATTACATGATATGAACAAGAAGGCTACATATATTACATGAAGAAGGCTACAGATATTACATGATATGAACAAGAAGGCTACATATATTACATGAAGAAGGCTACAGATATTACATGATATGAACAAGAAGGCTGCAGACATATTACACTAGAGGAACAAGAAGGCTGCATAGAGGAACAAGAGGGTGAACTGAAGAATGCGTGTTAGCTAATACACACGCAACCACAATATCATATGTCAGAGCAAGATACTTCCTTATATGGTAGCACAACACTACAAGAGAACACACGCATAGTTGTAATTCCAGACTATATGCACTATAATGTTGCAGAAAGATTTTTATAATTATAGAGTGTAACTTAAGGTATAGGTTCAACCACAGAATTGAAATACTGCTAGGACAATGTTGTCCTGATTATTACACAAGATGACGACACAAATCTGTCCTAAACATGAGGATGTGTCCTAATTATAATGTTGTCCTGATTATTACACAAGATGACGATACAAAGCTGTCCTAAACATGAGGATGTGTCCTAATTATAATGTTGTCCTGACACAAGATGACGACATAAAGCTGTCCTAAACATGAGGATGTGTCCTAATTATAATGTTGTCCTGATTATTACACAAGATGACGACATAAAGCTGTCCTAAACATGAGGATGTATCCTAATTATAATGTTGTCCTGATTATTACACAAGATGACGATACAAAGCTGTCCTAAACATGAGGATGTGTCCTAATTATAATGTTGTCCTGACACAAGATGACGACATAAAGCTGTCCTAAACATGAGGATGTGTCCTAATTATAATGTTGTCCTGATTATTACACAAGATGACGACATAAAGCCGTCCTAAACATGAGGATGTGTCCTAATTATAATGTTGTCACGCATTAACATATCAAGGAAACGGGCAGTGCAATATCACAATCGGCTTTGAACGGGAGCTGTGTTGACATTTTCAATTGTTGAATAAACGTGACAGGTGGTTAGTACACACAGTACAGCAGGCACATTGTACCACACATTGGAACTACACATAGACACCTACAATATGGACCACTCCAAACATACTAGGACAATTCACACCTATCTATACATGCACAGCCTCTCTAAGGACACCCCTGAAATAGAGAAATGAGAGGGGGAATGGAGGAAGAGGGTAATGAGATGAAGAAATGTGAGTGATGGGGAAGGTTAGAATACACTGAGCGGATTGGTACTCGGGATCACGACAATGGAGTGCTTAGTTTCACTTTACTTCCTCACCATTCGTCTTGGTCTGTCTCTTCCTCCGCCTTTCTTCTGTTAGGTCCTTTCTCTGCCTACACCCTGTCGTCGTGCCCTTCATCTTCCTCCCCTTTCTCTTTTCCTTTCTCTCCGCCCTTTCTTCTTTTCCTTTCTCTCCTCCCCTTTCGTCGTTTGTCTCTCTCTCTTCACTCCCTGATCCTCAGCGTAAGGAAGAAGCGGGGTAATCTATGGTTGTGTTTAATCCGGACCTCTTGTCTCTCTACTCTCCTTGCTCTCCTACCTCAGCGACTTAGCTAGCTGTTCCTAAACACACATTGTACACAATATGGCAACATGAATAAGTGTCTGTATAGTGAGTGTACATTGTGTATGTAGGTAGGTATGTATAGTACTGTAACTGCAGTCATGTATAGTGAGTGTACATTGTGTATGTATAGTGAGTGTACATTGTGTAGGTATAGTGAGTGTACATTGTGTATGTAGGTATGTATAGTACTGTAACTGCAGTCATGTATAGTGAGTGTACATTGTGTATGTATAGTGAGTGTACATTGTGTAGGTATAGTGAGTGTACATTGTGTATGTAGGTATGTATAGTACTGTAACTGCAGTCATGTATAGTGAGTGTACATTGTGTATGTAGGTAGGTATAGTACTGTAACTGCAGTCATGTATAGTGTATATACATTGTGTATGTAGGTAGGTATAGTACTGTAACTGCAGTCATGTATAGTGAGTGTACATTGTGTATGTAAGTATGTATATATAGTACTGTAACTGCAGTCATGTATAGTGAGTGTACATTGTGTATGTATAGTGAGTGTACATTGTGTAGGTAGGTATGTATGTATAGTACTGTAACTACTGCACTTGTGTAATTGTACACAAAGCTGTGTAGATTCAAGAATGACAGAAATGTGAGTGTGTATGTGTGTGTGAAAGAAGCAACTATAGTTAAGAGGCAATTTTCTTCAAAGAGAAAAGGTAGCTGACATGTCTTAGTTGGACTTAACCCACGACATTCTACTCTGTAGGCAAAGCACTCTTCCTACTCAGCTACAATTATCTCTAAAAAGGGATACCTTTTCTTTCTAAATAGGCAACCTCTCTAATAAGGACACTTTCTTCCGTCCATTTGGCGTCCGGATTAGACCGAACCCGTCTCTCTGGACTCAGAATTGACGAGGGTAAAACTGGAAAAGCTCTGTAATGACGACCCACGTGAGTGTGTGAATGTGGGGATGGAAAACACGTGCTGTGGTCGGTGTCTAATGTCAGCAGATCTGTTTGTGGTAGAGAGAACATTATTACTCCTACTGACCTCATACTGACCTCCAACTGATGATGTATTAATTACGAGAGGATGGAGGGCGACATCATGTACACACTAAAAGTAGTGGACACCAGATGCCCAGTCTTGAGAACTAGGAGAGGTGGTTTGGGCCTTTTGCAACAATGCTAACTCGTTAACTCTGAGTTACACTATACGGGTTAAGAATGGAGTAATGTACACACGAATGGAAGGGCTGAAACGGAAAAGGAAAGACGGCCGACACAGAGCCGTTAGATTCTGACTGGACGTCAACAATAGAGAGAATCTCGAGGTAAAGAGAAGCAACACGGCATCCACACTATAATCAATCTGGTATTATGACAAATTATCGTCAGGCCGTTTGTACACAACCAAGGTAAGGTCTGGAGCAGCATCTATACACACTGTAACATGTACAGTCCCCCCCCTCCCTCTCTCTCTCTTTCTAGCTAGTGAGGTGTTTAGTTCTCTTGTTAACATGTACACTAACTGTGGTCTTCTGTTTTATACACAAACAAACATTATTTGTACAGTTCAGCACGTTGTACACATCGTACATAGTAATATACAGACGGTCTATAGAAAGAAGAGAATTAAGGAAGTGAGAGAGAAAAAGATGACGAGAGAGAGAAAGAGAGGGGGAGCCAACAGAGGAGCAAAGAGAGGGGGGAGACGAGAGAGTAAGTAAGTAAGAGAGAGAGAAGAGTGACTTGTGGAATTTACATGAAACCCATGTGTTCAATCAGGAAATGTGTTGTAGCATCACTACCCCCACACACACACTCCCCACTGTCCACGCAGCAAGGCACATGGGTTGTGTGTTGTTTACATACAGAGCTGGAGAAAATCCCCAAATATAATGATTATGACTCGCGCTGCTTGCCACCACAGACTGTCTAGCTAAAGGTAATGTCCCAGTCTTTTCTTACAACACTATCGTAGCTATGCTGATGATGCCAATGAAGCGAGGAACTACTAGCTGGGCCTCAAGCCACAACACGTATGCTAGACGTCACACATAATACCACCGCTGTTTCCCCGCTAGATCCTGAGCCAAAGAGCCCCATACATTGCCATGGGGATGTCATAAACAACACGACTAATAGCTCTACGAGAAGACAATCAAGTAAGAAGTGCCATAATTGGCGATCACCTGGCGAGGGCAATAAAAGCCACATACCCTCTAGCTCCCTGCGGGCCCAGATCACATCGCTTTACATATATACCTCCTTCCGCTCCTCTCCATGATGAATACGATCTCGCTCGTTCCGGGTGATAAACTATCAGCCACGGAACATCATCCGCCAGGACCGTCGGTTATGATAGGACGCCAAATCCTATCCCTGTCAGCTGGGGCCGGCCACGGGTCCCTGAAACGCGAGAAGACGAAGTTTTGATCTTCTCAACACACGTTTCCTACCCGCTGATCGTTTTCCGGGGGTCGGTCGCGATCGCTGTGCAGGGGGCGTGGTTTATGTAGTTCAAGATTTCCGGTGATTCGGATAATTGGAAGCGGTTCCGTGCGGTATAAATAGGTACGCATGCGCATAAAAAGAAGGCGTAGCTGGTAGCGTGTCGTGTACAAAACGGGCTGTTCGTTCTCTCAGTATCTCTGTAGCTGTTTGTCTCCGTATTTGCGCAGAAATGAAGGCTGTTGTGGTGATAGTGGCGACTCTAGCGATGGCCGCGGCTCACATATGTATGGTGTCTCCGCGCCAGCGCGGCACCCTGCAGGGCCTCGACAAGCCAGGTGAGCTATATAGCCTTCACAACCTTGCTATCCTCCTCTCCGCTAATGTGCTGCTGTTCCTTTCGCAGGTGCAGCAGACTGCATTCGCTTGTCGCCGGAGCCGTGCGGAGGGCAGAAATCCGACGGGAATACCGCCATTTTCAAGTGCGCATCCAATCCTATGTAGCTGTACTTATATACATGTAGTAGTAGCGAATTCGCTACACACTAATTACTCGCTGTTTATAATACTGTATATATACTGGGATAAGATATGCATGTGAGTACACACTGCATGTGGTCAAAAGATCATGTGATTCGTGTATATAGTAGGTTTTCCTCCATTTTCACAGACCAGGGGTCAATGTGTCGATTATCTTCCAGAAGAATCTGAACCACTGGGACCAGTCCACTCCTGTAAGCCTCTCTTTTGCTTTGTCTCACTTTTTCTTCCTTTCTTCTTCTTGTCTTTCCTTTCTCTCTCTCCCTTTCTTCTTGTCTTTCCTTTCTCTCCCTCCCTTTTTCCTTCACCATTATCGTCATTGCAGTGACAGTACACCTATATCTAATAGGGATCGTTCAATATCGCAATTGGAGACTCCGAGGAAAAGAACTTCAAGACCATCTTATCTGTGAAGGACACCAACTCGTCTTCCCTCACTTACTACTATCCTAACATTACCATCCCCATGTAAGTGGAGACAAGCCAGAAGTGGCAGATCTAGGATTTTGAAAGGGGGGGTTCTGCTGTCCAGAACGTTTTCGACTGCACTCATCCGCGTGCACGAGGCCTGCAACACATGCGTGCAAAACGACAAAAAGGGGGTTCTGTTGAACCCAAGGAACCCCCTGGATCTGCCACAGAGCCAGTGTACAGATGAAAACATGGGTGTTGTTTGCATTGCCCTTGTTGGTGACACGTGTAAGAATTGCACTCACTTTCAACATCTTGGTGAGCCCTTGTGAGGTTAAATACAAAACTCCCGACTGCAATGTGCCTACCATCACTAACTTTCTCTCTCTCATTCTTCCTCTAGGGAAGAAACTAAGCACGCAGTCATGCAGTTGACATACGTCACAAAGAATCCCAAAGCTCCTGCGGTCTTTTACCAGTGTGCCGATTTTGCAATCACCAGGGAATAAACTGGTGACACTGCTGCTATGAATATAGGTGTTAACTTGAACCCATATAATATAGTTAGAAATGTGTTGAGATGAACTATTAATGCTACACGTTCAACAATGTTTATTACGGAATGCTATATACATGTTTATGTAGTTTTATACATACTATTACTTCATCGTGCTTGAAATTAAATTGTGTAATGTGGAATTATTGTTGCTGATTAGCCGTCTGTCAACTTTACTACAAGTTGCCTCATTCAAAGGGCCTTGAAGCGATGCTAGGGTAAAGGTTGCATAATGGTGAGTGGACCAACGCATGAGCTTGAGAAATATTCATGCAATTTTATAATTAGTTATGCAATAGTAGTCATAGATCACATGCCCAGTATATACTCTATGCATGGTTAAGCTTTATGTGGATGTGGCTTTAAAAATAAAAACAAAATAATATGTTGAACACAGTGAGTGTATAAATGTAGGCAAAGACACGATGTATAAAAAATATCCCCTAAAATTTCTGGAGTTTGAAGAGATGAAAATGGTGAGGATTTTTGTGGTCGCAAAATTGATGGTCGAATTTGACTGAGCCTCCTTCGCAGCTGAAGCTAGTGAGACAGAGAGAGGTGGAGTCTGGGGAGAGTGTGGCAAGATGGTGGCGGTTTGCCGCCCCCGAGCTGCCTGGCAGCGTGACTACCATTCCCTATGATAGAAGAGAGAGGGAGAGAGAGAGAGAGGAGGGAGGGTGGGAGAGAGGAAAAAGCAAAAAAAATAGTCAGTGACAGCATATCCTTTTAAAAAATTAGGTTAGTGCATCTTTGTCGGGCAAACTCCAAAAAGTCAAAATAAGAAATGTTCCCGGTACCAATACAACCCCCAAAAAGGAGGAAATTTTCAACCACCAGAGAGAGAGAGAGTAAAGTATGGAGCAAAAGTGTGTTGTATAATTATATGATAGATATTAACCAACCCTTCCTTCAGCGTTCATCTTGTAAGATCCCTTCTGAACATGTCCGTTGTAGAATATCGCGAAACTTCTCTCGTACATGGTGTCCGCCTTCCATTCCTGCGGTACCTGGGGATGGTTCTGAATTACCTGCACGTGGGAACATGGAATCACGGAATGGGGGGAGAAAAGAGAATTGAGCTAGGAGTGAGCGCTACAAATCAGGTTGCAGAGGAACCTCCAAGAGTCTCGAATAAAGAACACCTCTCTATAACAGATCTAGACACATTGTTTAATAAGGGATACCTCTGAATAAAGGACCACTTTCCAAATGTCCCCAAGGTGTCCCTTATTCAGAGGTTTCAATGTAAGAGATTGATTCTCACCATTGCCTGAGTGAACGCCTGTTCTCCGACGACTAGAGTGAGGTGTTTGTCGGATGTGAACAGAAGAGCTCGTACGTTGGCCTCGTCCACGTAGCAACCAACGCCCTTCATGAACGGTGCAGCTGACACGAGGTGAAGAGAAAGAGAGGGCAGGTAGATCAAAGGACATCGTAGAGAGAGAGAAGGTACGTAGGTATATAGCTAGCCCATCATACTGTGCAGTAGGATAGTTGAAAACTCAGCTGGTAAGAGCTTTCAAAGGACAATTTTGCAGGTCTATGAGATCACAAAACTCCATGGATGAAAATTTCGCCTAAAATCTTCATGCTCAAAAATTTCCTACTGAAAGATAAATTATTAACTACATAGCTACGGACACAAGTGAGATATGTTTGACTCACTGTTTTTTGTTTCCCTCTTCCTCTTCTCCTCCTCCTGTTGTTTGAAGTAAGCCACGACGGAGGAGAGGCCGTAGAACTCCGCCTCTCTCTGGAGTGACGTGTGACTTACTCCGGGGGGAATCTCCAACACCCCACTCCGCAGGAAGTGGAGTAACGGACTGAAATACCTGGGGGACCCTGCGTCACAACACAATTATGGGGAGATTTATGATTTACACAGTGGAGGGTGCTTACTGCATTTAGAGTCTGCATTTATGATGGAGAGTATCAAATTATTACTGCCTGTATGGTATTTGCAAGTCACTGCAAAAATGTCATCTTTCAAAGTTACGGTATATCAAAGCTTTATAATGATACGAAATTTTGCACTCAACGAAAATTTCCCTCTATAGCTACGGTATGTAAATCGGTTGTCTTAACCCAGAAACTCTGGCATAATAATTATAGGAACACAACAACTGGTGTAATATTAATTTCAGGGGCACACTCTCACTATCAATAAACAGAGCTCCAGAGTCGTCAGTAGTGTTCTTGTGGCGTCCTGACAGGAGAGACGTAAAGAAACTCTCGCCAGCCGAGGCCAGGGTCCCATAGGTTGTCGCGAATACCTCCTGAGAGACGAATGACGGCAGAATGGAGTTATTGGCCTCGATTACAGCTAACGAATCCCCGTTTACAGGACTTTGGGTGTCTGGGAACGGCCGAGCCACTTACCCCTCCGACATTGAGACGAACTATGTCGCTAGAACTTGGTGGACCAGATGTCGGAATCGCCATTTGCCCTCGTCTCCTCCCCCGTCGTCTGCTATTTGCGCTTGCTTACGGTGCAGCCACGCCTCCTTGTTCACGTGTCGCGCATGCGCATAAAAATCGTTGACCTTCGGACCTTTCCACACTGTCGAACGTGGCGCTTGCCGGCCGCGAGTTTTGGAGAGATAGCAACCACCCAACCAGGGAGAGAGGATGGCTTTGTTCGGCGGGACGGTGGACGAGAGGCGCGAGCCGCGGAGTCTGGTGGAGTTCAGGGCGGGGAAAATGAGCCTGAGTCAGGGAGTTGTGACGGCGGACAAGAGGAAGGGGCTGGTGTACATGAAGACGAGCGGCGACTCCCTCCTCCACTTCTGCTGGAAGGACAGGCAGAATGGAGAGGTCGTGGACGTAAGGCCTTACTATCAACTTCCTTCAACCCTTTCCCCGTCTTTCTCACCTTTCTCTAACTTTTTACTCACTCAAACCTTTTTCTTTCTTTCTTTTCCTCACTTTGTTTCCTCTTCTCTCCCTCCTTCCCTCCCTCTCCCCTTCATCTTTTACCGACACCCCTCTCCCTCCCTCCATCTCTCGTGTGTAAGGACCTCATCATCTTCCCCTGGCGAGGCGGAATTTCTCACCATCCCCCAGTGCACCACTGGCAGAGTCTTCCTCCTAAAGTTCAAGGACCATTCCAGCAGACGGTTCTTCTACTGGATGCAGGAACCAAGTAGCTCCAAAGACAAGGAGCTGGCTAAAAAGGTTTGCTCTAAATAGAGGTCATTAGTATTATTATACCTTGCATTTGATGTTTTATATGATTTCCAAAGTGAAACTAGTCCCACCTAGTCTTATATAGTCTTCTCAGTTGCACACACGCACACACACAGACTATGCGTAAAGCCGCCAAAAACTTGTCTAGTACAATGTGATTGCCTTTCTGCTTGCACTGATTTTTTCCCTCCCTTTCTCTCTCCTCCCTCCCCTTCTCTGCAGGTAAATGAACTCCTCACCAACCCTCCAGAAGGAGGAGGTGGAGAAGGATTGCCTGATCTGCCTCCTGGATACATGGGTGAGCTAAATCCATTATTATATGGAGCTTCATCCATCATCTATTAGAGGAGTGATCTTCTGTTTGACATATGCTGCGTTATATAATGCATTGTCTTTTACCCAGCCACTGTCCTATGTAAGCTAATGCAAACTTTCACTACACAAATTTCGCAGAATTTCACTATCTTTTGCGCTCCACACACAGCAGCTGATTGCGTAACTCTTTCCCCACCTAGCCATTTCAAGATGTAGAAAAGTCATTACTCAGAATCCATTGTTTTGCTTCTTTTCTCCACCCTCTCCCTCCCTCTCTCTCCCTCCCTCTCTCTCCCTCCTCTCCCTCCCTCTCCTACTCAGCCATCCCCAGCTCCCAGCTCCAGTCAATGCTCAGCGGCGGTCGTGTGGACCAACAGCAACTGATGGAACTCCTGGGCGGGGCCGCAGGGGGAATCCCCCACGCTCTAGCGGGCGGAGGCCTCGGGCGGGCAGGGGGCGTGTCTGCTGATAGGTCTGGTGCTTTGTTGTACAAATCTTATTTTTGTGTGCTAATACACGCCATGGCAACTTTAGAAGCATGCAATCATTCAGTATAATTGTATACATCTTGCTATATATAACTGAGTTACGTTTGCTGTAATGTCATTAGGCCTTCATCCCAAGTAAGCCACACCCCCACCTCATCTGCGTTGCCGGCAGCAACTCCTCGGGCTCCGAGCCGACCCACACGGTGAGTTAAGACTTTAACCCTTCTCCCACTGGCAGCGGTGGTATATTTAACCCTCTTCTGCCTCCCCCAGGTCTCAGCAGCAACAATTGGACGATCTGCAGAGCATTCTGTCATCTCTCAATGTTCCTGGAGAGACGCAAGCAGCCGAGAGCCAGCAGTCCTCTCCCGGTTTGAACACCTCTCTTTTCTTCCTCTCCCTCTCTCCTCACGTTTTTTACTCTCTATTTCACCACTAGAGTGACTGTTTTTTGAGGGAGAGTAATACCATGCGTAGATCACAAACTGCATTCCCTTACACTTTTTGCCCTATAGCACCTTTTAATTGCATGCTATACACATTTGCCTATACTTTAGCCCGTTACATGTATGTACGTTGGTTTTAGTGGTACAGCGGGTTCTACTCATGGTGTTGCAGCTTTTTTGGTTTTTTTTCTTCTCCTAAACATCCTCATTCCCTCTCTCCCTGGGTTTTCACCCCCCACAGAGGATGCAGTCAATCTCAACGAGGTATTCTCCAGCCACGTCATTAGACCTCTGGCCAACGATGAAGAGGTCGTTGCCGAGGTAACGCATTCCTGTCAGCGACTGGTTTTGGGGGGTGCCAGTGTTTTTCCTTGTTTTTGTTTCCTACCAATCCTGTTTTACAAGGTGTCTTTCTCTTTCAGTGTAGACACTGCATACACCAATGGCAAAACATGTTGTTAAGTCCAGGTCCAGAATGTGGACTTATCTGGTTTTCCCACTATCATTATCATTAATTTACTTTACACTGTAGCTTCATGGACCCTCTGAAAAATGCCCTTCAAATTAAGGACACCTCTATAATTCTGCCCCGTGCTATTAGTGTATTAGTTACCATTCAGAGACACCTCTGAATAGAGGCACTGGAGGTTCCCCTTATTTAGAGGTTTATCTGCGTACGTAATTCTGAAAGTGAAGGTGTTTGTTGCTGTATTTCAGTTGTCTTCCCACCTCCCTCCCACTGGTGAGACGGCAGAGGACGTGCTCTCCTCGCCCCAGTTCCAGTCTGCCCTGTCCACGTTCCATTCCGGACTGACATCGGGACAGCTGGGTCCACTCATGTCTCAGTTCGGGCTGGGAGATGGTGTGTCTCAGTCAGCTGCCAGTGGCGGTTAGTTCTTACTCCTTTGCTTCGGCTGTTTACACATTTTCCCACTGGACTGAATTATGTTTACCACTGATTTTGTTACTTTTTTCTAGTGATTAGTGACACATATTATTTGTGTGGGTCTTTTAGCCCCTTGGAGTTCAAGTTACTGTGCTAATTATTAATGCTTTTTGCATATGGTGTTGTGTGCATGTGTGCGTGCGTGTGTGTGTCTGTGTCTGTGTCTCTTCCTTGAGAATGTTAGAACACACAGGGATACCAAACAGGGATACCAAACAGGGATACCATAAAGTGGTTCATTTGTATACTCGCTCCGGGACCTGAGCTGACTTCTGCTTATGTACCACTAGATACCATAAAGTGGTTCATTTGTATACTCGCTCCGGGACCTGAGCTGACTTCTGCTTATGTACCACTGGATACCATAAAGTGGTTCATTTGTATACTCGCTCCGGGACCTGAGCTGACTTCTGCTTATGTACCACTGCAAACAGATGACCTTGGTGTACTCTTGTCTCTCACGATAGTTGTCTATAGCCTCACTTTCTCTACATATTGCTGGTTGTTTATGCCCTATATTGCCTTCGTCTCTATTTGTCCATTGGGATTGGAGTGTGTTGTAAAAGTTGATCTGAGCCAGAGTGAATTTTTTTCTGTAGATTTGAAGGCGTTTGCTGATGCATTGCAAGGTGAAATGGGAGGGGGTGGGGCTTCTGGTGGAGGGGGTGTGGCTTCAGGTACCACTGGCGAAGAGGGGGAGGGAGAGAAAGGAGAGGGAGGGGAGGGAGAGGGGAAGAAGGAAGGTGGAGGGAAGAAGGAAGGTGAAGGGAAGAAGGAAGGTGAAGGGGAGAAGGAAGAGCAGAAAGGAAGTGAACAAAACTAGCATAATCCAGTGGAGTGCATCTTCCTTGCGTAGAACTTTAAAAAGATTTACTCAAAACGATTATACATATATTCGTACGTACAAGCCGTTACTTTAGTAATGGAAGTAGGCAGGCAGCCACGTTGATATAGAAACAGATGTCTAGTGAAGTACATACATACATAGTACTGACACTGTTGTGTATCGCAGTGTGTTTGCAGCGTGCTATGCCCACCAAACCTGGTTTATTTTGGACATTTTGCTAGCCAGGTATAACAGGAAACAATCGCTGTCCATATCTAATTTGGCATCTTGTGTGAGAATAATTGCTACTACTGCATGATGTGCAATGTTTGTCGTTCTTTGTCTGCGAGGTGTGTGTGTGCAGAGTCACATGTGGACGTGTAGAGTGCCAATGTCTGAGTGTGCTCTTCTATTGTCAGCTCTATTGAATGATAGGGTGTGTGTGTGTGTGTGTGTGTGTGTGTGTGTGTGTGTGTGTGATCACAGTGGGGGGCACCTCTAGAATGGGGACACCTTGACTGGATATATAATATGGATATATACCTTTCTCCCCTCAAGAACAGTCATGAAATAAGGACACAGCACTGATCTCGGCCTTCTTCTGTCACGACGTGATTGGTGTCTGGATTCACGTAGAGAGTATAAGTTTGCCAAAGTGTGGCCTAATGGCACTTTCTTCTGTCACATGATTGGTGTCCAGACTCACATAAAAAGTGGAATTTTGCGATAATGTGGCCCAATCATTGTGGAATACTCTGAATTCTTGAACCTTTGTATTTGTGAAGGAGAGGGTATGATTGATAGTAGGTAAATATTGTTACCCTGCCCTGTGCACTGTTTCCTGTTCACGTCTTGGGGGAAAATACAAAATAAACATATTTTTTTAAATGCACTGCTTTTCATTGTAGCAAGTTTCCGTGACATGGAAAGGTGTTTATTTGTGGGCAAGACAGATAGCGCTTTCAGTATGATTCAATAGCGAAGGTCCGTAACAGAATAATATTCTGCAGTGGAATAAGTTTTTAATTAAATATTGCGGTATATAATTATTATGCAAACGACTTTGTTTACCTGCGGTTTCTGGCCCGCTATGCTTATGTAACAGTGAGGCTTCCTCGCCTTATACCGCGAAGAGGCAGACGGAGGAAGTGATTTTATTTCCGGCCACGGGAGGAAATCTCCTTTTTTGTCCACGTTCGTTCGCGAGCTACAAGTCTTCGCATTGAGCGACGAGCTCTGCAGTTTTATACTTCTACGGTATATACTTCTATACCTTTTTGCCCGTGTGCGCTCCCAAACCAGAAGCCGAAGCGAGATGTCGTACGCAGGCGATACGCCCAGTCAGGAGCAGGAACGTCTGAGACGCGAGAGAGATGCCGCCGCATTTCTCACTTCGCTCGGGCCGAAGTTCCAGAAGGCCCGCTCCACGTCTCCGGGACCGACAAGAAAGGTGACACCTTCGCACCAGCAGCAGATCGCCGGCGGGGGTGCAGTCGTGCAGAACGGCAATACGCGGCACGTCGTGGTCCCGTCGGGCTCGAACGGAGCTACGTTTACGTCCGTAACGGTGAGCGCGGAGGTCGAGGAGAAGCGACAGGAAACTCTGCGGAGGCTGAAAGCAACGCACTGCTCCGTCAACCAGGACAAAGTACGTGAAACGGCTGTGGGTATAATACAGCTAGCTATAACTTTTGTGGGGAACGTAAATAAAGTTAGCTATAATTGTCCTTGGGAAACATTAGGAGTTAGCTAATCATCTGAAAAGGAAGCACTGAAACAGACACAAAGTACGTATATAAAACGGCTGTTGAAATGGTATCTAGGGCGTGGGGAACGTTTGTTTTGCAGGAGTGAATGTCCTTGGGGAACAGATTCAGTTAGTTTATCATCTGGCACGGTTAGCTATCTGCATGTATATTATAGCTACTTACCCCTGAGCTGCAATTCCAGTCCCTGCGTGTCGCTATAGCTATAACTCCTGCTATTAGCACTCGCTGGCAAAGGAAGGTGCTCACAGCAGTGTCAACTCCATGCATGCACTCCTGTACAGGTGATAGTGCAGGTGCCCCAGACAAGTGCCAGTGACCTGGAGGCAGCACAAAAGGCCAAGACCACCATGATACTGGGCAGAGCTGGAGTCGGGCCAACCAGTGGTAGCACAGGGAAACCAGCCCACCACCAGCAACAGGTGTGTTTGGGTTCAGGAATTCCAGTCCGTCCTCCAAGAGCCAGATGCTCTTCAGTTGTGGAGGGCATAAGCCTTTTTGTGGCTACGTGGCTCAATACCTAATAATTACTATCTGAATTGCCATACTTCAGTGCTATACTCTCCAACGTTTTCTCTAAGGGTTTCGCTAAAGTTAGCAATCAACTTGAGGTGAAGTTGTGGAGTATAGGAGCTCATCTTCCTATAATCAGTTGGGTAGCTAGTATCAGTTTCCTGTTTCAGAAGATGTCCTAATCTTTCACATTTGGATGGAACGACATCATCTGCCATTAGTTTATGTGGGAGTAAATGATGCATGTCTATAATGGAAATAAATAACCCCCTACCCCCCACTTGCTCTGAGTAAGCTGTTATCACTATACGGAATTTGAAAGTTTGCGAAGGTGTGTAGCTATTGTAGCTGTACACTGTTTGCTACTCTGTCGTATCGAAACAGGTGAGCGTTGATGTGTAATAGCATCTGCCAGCATGTTTACAAACCTACAGACTGCTGCGTGGACTACGGCCTATGATGACTTACATTGATGGCATATAAGTGCAAGCAGTGTTTAATACTGCTGTATATGCAGTTACTGTGCAGTTGAAATCTCCGAAAAAGGACATAATTATGACATATCTATAAATGACACTTTGTTTCTGCCCAATACCAATACATTATCATATATTATACCTCAGAATGAGACACAAATCTAAACTTTTGATGTCCCCAAGGTGTCTCTTATTCAGAGGTTTCTCCAGTGCAGCTAGGTATTGTATATATAGTAATACATAGACACTGCTAAAGTTGTGCAGTTCTATAATAGTGCACTCCTAAGGGTTTAAGAGTCATTCATCATGCATGTACCACTACATACTTCCCCATTCAGAAACCAGTTCAAGCATCAACTGCTGCCCCACCACTCCCTAGCACGGCATACGGAGCCTCAAAAACTACCAGCAACAAGTCATCCGTGCCATACAATCGCCCGCCTAGCCCTCAAACCTCCAAGCTTCCCAGCAATGCCACGGCAGCGTTTTCCGGTGCAGCTCCTCCTCTCCCTAGCACCACATACGGGAAGCCATCACACAACAGTACAAACTCATCAGCTACTGTGAAAAAGACTGTCGCAGCTGCTCCTGTGAAATCTCCAAGTCCCGGGCCTAATGTGGCGAATTCAAATAGCGTAGTCCCACCGCTACCTAGCCTCAGCTTTGGCAAGCCTGCCGCTTCCAAGCAGGCCACTTCTTCTGTTCAGTCATCCGGCAATCCAGCTCCAAGTAAGCCACCTTCGCCCCCGACTGCACGGAGCGTCTCCCCGCAGCCTGGCCCCGTTCCGCCGGTCAACTCCATGACTGCCAAGTACGAGGCAATGAAACCGTCCCAAGAATCAAGAAAATCTCCCGCGAAGCAGCCGAGCCCAGGGCCGCCGGTAAACTCGATCACGGCGAAATACGAATCCATGAAACCTTCTCAGGTTAGCAAATCCCCATCAACGTCTGCTCCCTCCCAGCCTGCCAAGACCCCTGGTCAACCAGTCAATTCAGTCACTGCAAAATATGAGGCAATGAAACCGACTTCTGTAGCAAAACCTGTCGCTCCTCCTTCTGCATTGGTGGCTCGCCCTCCCAGTCCAAAACAGGCTCAACCGGTTAAGCAATGGACGCAGAAACCCGCCGAACCGGTAAAACCTGTTGCTGTTTCAAAATCGCCCGAGCCTGTCAAGCAACCGAGTCCCAAACCTGTTGCTCCAGTTGTTGCAAAACTGTTGAGCCTGTTGCTCCAGTAGTTGCAAAGCCTGTTGAGCCAGTTAAACCGGTTACTCCAGTAGTTGCAAAGCCTGTTGAGCCAGTTAAACCGGTTGCCGTTTCCAAGCCACTCGAACCTGTCAAACAACAGAGCACCAAACCAGTTGCCCCAGTTGTACCAAAACCTATTGAACCAGTCAGGCAACCCAGTCCAAAACCAGTTGAACCGGTCAAGCAGCCCAGTCCAAAACCGGTCGAACCAGTCAAGCAACCCAGTCCAAAACCAGTTGAACCGGTCAAGCAGCCCAGTCCAAAACCGGTCGAACCAGTCAAGCAAACAAGTCCCAAACCAGTAGAACCGGTCAAACCGCCACCCATACAGAGCACATTTGCTCCAAAGCAACCGTCACCTCAACCATTCCGTAAATCGCCAGCACCCCAAAATCCCCCGGCATCGAAATTTGGTTCAGCGGCCAATGCGAACTCGGCAGCCACTGCTACTACAAAGCCGGCTTGGGCCCAGAACAAGACCGGTTCGGCACAAAACAAGGCCACAGACTCCGCAGCTGCCGTGCCAGTGGCCACAAAGAAGATTGGAGACTCGCGTACGCTCATAACGGTCAAGCCCGGAATGGAGAACATGCGAGCAGTTCAGTTCCTTGTTGGGCCGCGTGGAGAGACTAAGGGAGAGAAGACATCGGGTTTCAAGAGCGATCTGGCCACGAGACTACACGGAAACACGAGTCTGTTGAAGTCAGAGGAAGAGCTACTGGAAGGGAAGAAGAAAAAGGTTCAACTGGGAAGAGTTTTGGATGACAACGACGAGAAGAAGGCAGCAGCACCACCAAGGCCTAAACCAGGGAAGGTGAAAGTTCCGGAAGGTTTGGTAATCCATGCTCCGGGGCCTCGTCCGACTCCAGTGGAATCTTCGGTACCCCCACCCCCACCCCCTCCCCCTACTGAATCGGACACTGATGGCTCTGCCACTGATTCTTCGCAGACAGTGGCACCCCCACCCCCACCCCCTCCACCTCCGCCTGTTGGTGCGCCACCCCCTCCCCCTCCACCTGGTGGTGCGCCACCCCCTCCCCCTCCACCTGGTGGTGCGCCACCCCCACCCCCTCCACCTGGTGGTGCGCCACCCCCTCCCCCTCCCCCACCACCGCCGCCACCGCTAGGCTACAAACCGCCAAAGAAAGCCATTACCGAACTGTCGTCATCGTCATCCTCCCAAAAACCAAAGCCGAGACCGGGACCACAGAACAATGCAGAAGCACTTTTTCAGGCCGAACTACAAGCTGCTTTGAAGAAAAAGAGCAGCAGTTAGTATCGTAAACAAAAAGATCCAAAAACAGTCAATAAGCATCACTGGTTTATTTGTAGTGTATGTAGTACCACAGTGCCCTTCTTCATAGTGTTTGTATTATTGCAGCATCAATTAATACTCATTTTTGGCAATCACTCTACTTTTCAATTAATTGTGTGCGTTTTTTTAATGATCAAGAATGAACATCTAACAGCCAAAATCTACTATAATATAGTCACAGATAAAACAAGCGTACTAGACGTATTGTATGTATGTACCTACCTATAATGTACAGCATTCTCATGTGCATTATGTAGTATGGTGTGCTTTTTCATGATTGCTTTCCTCTTTCCTCTGAAGTCCAGTTGTACAGGATGTTATCAGCCTATTGTGCCAAAACTCTATCTCTCACAATAGGTTGGGAAAACCCTTCCCAAATTAGTAGTTTTCCTACTGCTTTTGTGAGTTTGCTGACCTGCAAAGGCTATATATCAGTGTCAGCATGTGAAAACTATGAGGTAGAAAGGCAAAGGCACAACAAACAAATCAACTACACCTACACAAGTTTGTAGCTGAATGCTGCTGATACTGTGTGCATGACCTTTATTCCTCCGGTGTAGTGTGAGTGCATAGTGAAAGACAGGAAAATGTAGTGTGTAGAGTAAAGCTACAAGCACAGCGACTTATTTAGAATGCTGCATTATTTTGTTCGTTACCATTGAACGACCATCTCCTTTTGGTAAAGAACAGTTTCCCCCAAATCCTTATGCCTCTTCTTATAGCCTTCCCATTCTCTGTATGTTTTTCATAGTCGTGTCACTATTTTCTTGGTGCTTTAAAGCTTGCCCTTTAGACACAGGTTCCACTGTACCACAGCATACCATCAAATCAAATAAGGGATACCTCTGAATAAATGACACTTTTCGATGTCACCAAGTTGTCTTTATTCAGAGGTACCAATGTTCATACATCTATCCACCTTAGGTGTTTGTTGACAGCCCGGCCACATCACAGGCAAGACTGTGCCTCATCTGCACAGGTTAATAACCCAGATCTTTGCCTGCTGCCAAGTTCACGTGTGGTGACTAAAGCCGAACCATAGTGTCTTGGGGTGGAATTCCATAACTGCTCGTTTCTGGCTCGCTCGCTGAATTCCCGCCATTACTGCTCCAGTGTCAGGACACGTTTGCCACATCTCTCTCTGACCATTTTTGTCATATGAACACTGCACTAGCTTACAACACACTCTGAACTATAGTTCTATAGATTCTGCCACAGTTAATATCACACACATTATTTTGGTTGGCACGTAATCAATTGGTGGAACGCAAATTAATGTGTAATAATATGTATAATTATAGCGGATATATTTTTGGCAAGGGAGTGCAATCCTGTATAATATAAAACCTATAAAAAGAAATTTGTAATTCTGATGTAAGGAACAAGTAATTACGCAATAGCGGAACAAGTAATTACGCAATTTCAGTAGGTACACATACGTAAGTTCACTCGCCAATTAGAGCAGTAATTTTCTCTAAGGAACAAATTTGCACAAAGTCTGAACACACAAAACATGGTGACTGCAGTATTCTATTGGAGGGAGAGAATGGATGAAAACTCAACGGTGCTGGGGAGATATTACGTAACTCTAGGCTGCAGAGTCTTCGGAGAGCTCGACAGCTTCGAGTTTGTAGAGTCTGGTGCCTACTGGTACATGCAGTCTATTGTCCTCCTAGTAATGGGATGTTTGAGGAGGAAGGGGGGGAGGGAAAGTAGCAAGGGAGAGTAGGAAATGAGGGATGGAGGGAGAGCGAGGAAAAGGGATGGAGAAGACAGCAAGGGAGGACAGAAGGGTTAAGAAACTGGTAAACTTCGAGGATAGGAGAGAGTGAGAGGGTGGGGTGGGGAGATGAAAGAGCAGGAGTCAGTCTGTTGGGCACAGTACAGACAATGAAGGAGGAACTATAATAGTCTCATGCCAATTGGGAGAAGTATCACCGTTTGGAGTTCCCTACACCTCTGAAACCAGACACTAGTAGCATGTACCGTAATAATGCTAATGTTCCCTAGGACACAGTAATTACTGGTTCAGCTTTGAAATGACCTTTTATGGCAATACCTAGTTAACCCCAAAGCCACTGTAATCTCTCAACCTAATTAGTATGCATGTAAGAATATTGCATACATTACACAGCGTATTAGGATTTAGTAAGAAAGAAATTACCTTTCGTACTTCGACGTGCAACCTCTGAGTAACACGACCTATTAGCAATTTTCTGCAATTCGAAACGACAACATAATTATTATGATTAAATGCCCGGCAAACGATACTTACAACACTTACTTTTCAAACGGTGGCTTGACTGCAGTTTCAGAAAAATAAATAGAGAATAACAAATAATGAAGTAAGAGGAGAATTTCATGTGTAACAGAGCATAAAAAGGCTTTATATAATTATAGGAGGGGGAGTATTGAGTATTAAAAAGGGGGAGGGGGGGATAAATTTACTAGCTTATATATACACAGGCTGAGAAAATAGAGAAAGAACTAGTTTTTCTCGGGAGTCAAAACTCCAGCATTGTGACAGGAAGTCCAGCACTGAGCTAGCACTCTCAGACAAAACATTCTAGAGCAGAATTTGATAGATAGAATGATAGGGGTTAACTTCGAAAGCACAATAGGCATGACTGAGTAAATAGGCATGACTGAGTAAATAGGCACGACTGGTCAGTATGAGGGAATAGAATAACAGAAAGCACACTACAAGGCCTACTCTCCCTCTCTCCCCTCTCTCTCTGACTCACTCTTCCCAGTCCATTTGTCAGAGAACTTGGAGACGCAGGAGTGGTTGAGGTAGTACGTCTTTCCATCCACACTCATGGCCAGGTAGTTATTGAATGAGTCAATGCAAAACAGGGCTACATCGTCGACTTGCAGACTGCACAGAAAAATAGGCGGAAAATTCCATTTTTATGTGCTACAACAATGGATGGAAGCATAGAGGGGTTATCCAAATAAAGAGCTGGGATACGTATATGTAGCATTCATCCATTATGTGCTACCATAATGGATGAAAGTATAATGGGGTATCCGAACAAAGAGCTGAAATATTCATAAATGTAGGATTTATTGTGTTAGCTAATTAGCACAATGGATGAAACCATACAGGGTTACAGAACTTGTAACATATGTATATAGCATGTATTGTGCTGCCATAATGACTGGAGGCATGACTGTGTGATGCAGCAAAAAATAATATAGCGAGCAGTTTTGCAGTTTCATAAATTTTTGGAGCGAAAGTTTCAAAGTCATGCAGTAAGTAGCCTTACTTGCTGACTGTGAGGTTGATTCTCCTCTGCAGCAGTTTGCTGCCCACTCCAGAATCACCAACACCGCCACTGTTCCCCTCTGGGGATCCCGAGAGCCGTCATTACAGACTCTGACATCACCTGCTGATGATGTCGCCGATTTCGCATCTCCCTCTCTGCCTCCATGAACTTCTGCATAAACTTGTCCCTCTCTCTTCCAACCTTCTGCAGCTCTTCTGCCACCACCGAGCGGTTCTTCCTCTCCACAGCTAGCTCCGTTCTCAACCTCTTCAGCTCTTCTTGAGGGTTTCTCTCCCTCTCTTCCATGCTCTCTCCTTCTCCTTCCCTCTCTCTCCCTCCTCCCTCCCTCTCTTCCATGTCTCTCCCTCCTCCCTCCCTCTTCCTCCCTCCTCCCTCCCTCTCTTCCATGTCTATTCCTTCTCCCTCCCTCACTCTCCCTCCACTCTCCCTCTCTTCCGTCGCTCTCCCTCCCTCCCCTTCCATTACCCATCCACCTTCAACTTCCCCAGTGTATTTCTCCACCATTTCTCTCCTCTCTCCCTCCCTCTCTCGCTCCCCACCAACTTTAAACCCTTCTCCCCTCCTCTCCTCTTCCAAAGCTACCAGTCTCAGTCTCAGAGTCTCCTGCTGAGCTTTAGAACTGGTGTACGCTTTCTGAGCCTGCTGGTGTCGGTATTCGGATCTTTTCAACTCTTCTTCCTTCTCCCCGAGAGATTTCCGCAACTCTGCGACCTCTTGGAGGTGGTCTTGACACTTGAGACAGATGCTCTGGCGGCTGTTTTCAACTCCGTACCTTCTCTCGGGGGGTCTGGTTCGTGAATCTTTTCGCTCTTTCCGTTTTCAATTGCGCGTTCTCTTCGTCCGTTTGTGCAGACTTCAGTTCCAATTCCGTCAACTTTTGACTCAGCTCTGCGTGCTCGGTATTGATTTTCTCCAGTTCTGAATTCAGACGGTTGATTCTCGATTGTTGATCGTTCGACTGCAAGTGTAGCCGTTCATTTTCAGAGCTCAACTGTGCTGCGTTGGTTGTCAACTCCCCCTTTACCCTCTCGCTCCGATCCTGCAAATCTCGGTATTTTCCTTCTAACTCTGAAAGCTTGGACGAGAGCTTTCGCATTCTCGCCTCATCCCCACCATTTCCGATTCACACTCGGACACTTTCGACTTTGTGCTCCGCCATTTCCCTTTCCTTCTCTGCCATTTCCGCGCCGTGTTCCACGCTCTGTGAGTTGAGTGCGTCATTTTCAGATTTTAACTTTTCGTTCTCAGTCTTCATTTGTGTGACCTCGGCCTGGCAGGTTTGGGTAGCCTTCACCCACTGTAGATTGGAGGAAATGTTGCTACTAGAGTCTGACTGTAGTTGCTCGGATGACGTCCTCTCGCCACTACCCAATGAGCGAGCACCGTCAGAAAGGCTTCCCGAGTGCGTCTTGAGATACTTGTTTTCGTTGTTTAGTTTCTCCACCTTTGATCTCAGCTCGTTGTTCGTTTCTTGAAGAACGCGTTTTTCGCGCTCTTTCTCTTTTACCAGCCGATCTTTCTCACTGTTGAGACGTTCTTTGACCTTCGCCAGTTCATTTCTCAGTTCCTCATTGTCAGTTCCCAATGTCACGTTGTCATGTTTCTGCGCCTCAGACTCCCCTCTCCACTGCATGTTCCGCTGTTCGAGACTGTTCATCTCTACCGCTCTTTTCTCAAGTCTGTCTTGTAGCTCTCGGCATTTCTCGCTCTGTTGTCCCTTCGCTTCGTTTGCCGTCTCCAGTTCCGCGGTTTGAACTTCGAGCGCCACCTTTTGCTCCGATATCGTCGTCTCTGCTCTCTGCAGCGTGTCTCTGAGGATTGAGAGGTTCCCGTGGAGTTCTTGGAACTGCTCTGCGGATTTTCGTGTCTCTTCCTCCACAGCTCGAACAAGGTCTGCTTCCCTCGTTGCAAACCTGGCCCCTCTCCTCCTCCCGCTCCCTCTCTTTCTTCTCCGCTAGCCCTCTCTCTCATCCCCCGAACCTCTCTCTGGAGATCGCTCTCCTTCTGTCGCAGAATTTCCACGCTTTTCGCCAAATTCTCCCGCAAACTTGGCTCTCGTGCAGTTTCTTGGTTAGTTCGCTCATTTCTTTCTCTTTCGTGAATCGGCCATTTCTCTCCTCTCTCTCTCTCCTCTCTTCGCGATCAGCCTCTCTCTCCTTCTGCAGCCTATCTCTCTCAGCTACGACAGACCCAAGCTGTGCCTCCAGATTCAGAATATTCCCAGAATATTCCCTTTTCCTCCCTCGGAAACGGCGAAGCTCGGTTTTCCCACAACTTCGAATCCGGCTGACTCCAGAGATGGGTCCCTAACTCTCCCCCATCTTTCTCGCCAGTACGTCTCTCTCTTCACTCACAGCTGCCAATTTCGCTTCCAAATCCCGAACCTTTAATTCCAGCTTCTCTCTCTCTTTCTCTAACCTATTTTGCTCACTAAGCTCTAGTTTTTCTTTCTGCCAGTACGTTTCGTTTTCTGTTAGTTCTGTTTGTGAAGCTTCCGCCAGTAGTTTTTCAACTTCTACCTTGTCGGTGGCATGTGATGCAGCTGGAAGGGGCGTGGTCACTGATAGGGGCGTGGCAGGTGGGCGGGGTTTTAGTTGCGGGTACGAGGAGGTACGGGGAGGGGTGTGGTGGAGAGGGGAGGGGCCAGAAAGGGAGCGAGAGAGTAGAGTGGAGAAAGAATCTGCGATGGTCGCCTCATGTCTGGGGAGAGGGTGCAACATGTACATATATGTCGTGTGGGCCATCTTTGTTTTATTAGCAAATAATGTCTACTCGTCTTAACAATAGGTTGATTAACACCAACTGTTATTTTTTACTTTTTTACAGCACAAATTACATAATTTTTTTCGTGCATAAACCCAAACCCCGCCAGTTTGCCCCTGAAAACAATACATGTGTATGTACGTGGCTATAATTGGCGAGTGAAGCAAACTGTAAACTGTTGCTGTAATAGTACGCAGGTCCATTCTGTGGTTCAGAATGGCGTACATATAGTAATTGCCACTCACAGAAGCTGAGGTGGTAGAGAACTCTTAATCTGACTGAGATCTGTGGTATCAGAGGACGCCGGCACTCTACCCAGTCGACACTGTACCAGGGAGAATACCAGTAGGTCACATGACTGTCATGTGACACTGCAGACGACCACGTGACTTTAAAGAGACAGTGAGGACGGATCACATGACTACATGCTACCAGAGAAATAGTCAACAACAGTGAAAAAGTGCTATTTCATGGTTAGGAAAAAATAGGCATCTGAGCTGTAAAAAACAGCAGTTGAATCTATAAATATGTAGGTGTGGTGGGCGTGAGAGTGTGTTGATCATGTGACTGGTTACCGTGGCGTCGGGTAGTCTATGAGAGAGCTGGGGGAAGAGGGAGGTGAGGAAATGGTGACGGTGTAAGGAGGTGAAGGTGTGCCTCTTCTGTTTCTCGTCTTCTCTGACAGTTCGCAGCTCCTCTGCCACCTCCACCACTCTCTGGCGAGGAGAGAGAGAGAGATAGTACTTTCTAACAGTCTTAATGGTGCTATGACATGGGCCCATGCAACGAGTAATTCCCACTGCATTGCACAAAGTTACGTAACTCTTTGAACTCTTTCTCCTTTGAAGGCTATAAACTTGATAAAAAACGCTTTTCAATAAGGATGTACTTGGTTCTGCCCCATACCCATACATGACGTCCAAGTAAGGGACACACCTCTATATTATTATATTACAACCTTTGGTTCTGCCCCATACCCATATACCTGTACGTACATTACCTCCAAATAAGGGACACCTCACTATAAAGTACATTTGGCTCTGCCCCATACTATTACCTCCAAGTAAGGGACACCTCTCTATAGGCTCTGCTCCATACTAATACATACATTACCTCCAAGTAAGGGACACCTCGCTATAGGCTCTGCCCCATACTAATACATACATAACCTCCAAGTAAGGGACACCTCTCTATAGGCTCTGCCCCATACTAATACATACATTACCTCCAAGTAAGGGACACCTCGCTATAGGCTCTGCCCCATACTAATACATACATTACCTCCAAGTAAGGGACACCTCTCTATAGGCTCTGCCCCATACTAATACATACATTACCTCCAAGTAAGGGACACCTCGCTATAGGCTCTGCCCCATACTAATACATACATTACCTCCAAGTAAGGGACACCTCGCTATAATAGGCTCTGCCCCATACTAATACATACGTACATTACCTCCAAATAAGGGACACCTCTCATTTGGCTCTGCCCCATACTAATACACTACTTCTGACGGCTTACATTACTCTGAATAAGGAACACCTCTGAATAAAATGAACTTTCTCGATGTCCCAGAGTGTCCCCTTGTTCAGAGGATGACATAGCTCGGTGTGAGCTGTTTAGTTAACGTACAGTACCTCTGTGAAGAGATGGTTGAAGGACTCTCTTCTCTCCACCTCAGCCACGATGTCTCCCAGGACCTCTCCACACGAACACACCTGCTCTCAACACCTCAAACCTTCACACAGAGAGGGGGTGGAGGTGGGGAGAAGTTGGAGTCATTTTCGAATGCACCATACAGTGGAACCACTTGAGGACAACACTGATATGATGAAACCTCCCTAATAAGGACTCCTTTAGCTTTATGCAATTTACCAACGAAATAGGGACACCTCACTAATCTCATGTCCAGATTAGATGGGTTCCACTGTATTTCATTCGGCTAGAATGCTACATCATTGGCGATTTTTAGGCCTTGTTTTCACAAACTCAAACATGTCTTCTTCCATACATTCTCTATGGTAATGAAAACCCTTTGCCTGGGAGCGAAAATGTCTTTCTCTCTCTCTCACCGTTTCCTGGCCAGTTTGAGTGTCTCGTGCAGGAAGACTAAGACACTGTTGCTTTCATTGATCTTCATCTGCAGCTCTGTCACGACACGCAGACCCTGTGGCAGAGTATACAGTGGAACTCCTCTAATCCAGACACCAATGGGACGGAATACAAAATGTTGGTATTAGTGAGGTTTCCTTATTCAAATTAATGCTCTTGAAAAAAACTATTTTACCCGAGGAAAGTTCTTGCATACAAGTCAGACTGTATTCCAATTGTAGTCTGTGTCCAATTTCCTGTGCTCTCCAACTATCACTGACATACTATACTCACTTCAGCTGGTTCTTACTTCATATGAATCATAGACAATGGAATACGAAAAACTGTACTTTCGCGAGGTAAACAGTGATTTATATGGCCGAACTTTTCTTAGGAAAAGAAAAAGTGTCCTATTAATATGGGTTCCTTCAATTCAAGGGTGTCCTTAGCGAGGGGCTCCACTGTATATACATCCAATTTGCTCAAATCTCTCTCTCTCTCTCCTCCCCTAACCTGATGTATACGTTGAGTGATCCTGGTCTTCCTGGTCTCGGTGGCTCTCACCAGCTCCTCCAACTCCCTCTTCTGCTGGTTCATCAGCTGCAAACTCCTGTGATGGCTGACTGTCAGGTCGGCCACCGTACCTCCATCTCCACTTCTCATGGCTCGCTGGGACGTCGAGTGGATGTTCTGAAAGAACAAAGAGGTGTAAAAACTACATCACAATGCGTACGTATATACCAGTCTGAATGAAAATTTTTTAGCTTCTGTCCACATACAATTTTGAGGGAGAACATTTTTGAGGTTATGAAAAAAATATCTCCAGTCCCCAAAAATATTTGAGGAAGAAAACTCTTTGAGTTTATAAAAATCATCGTCAGATGTTTTATACCGTGAAATTTTACTGTCAACTAGGTACAGCAAAGCCACGGTGTACATTAGATGTGTAGTACATATATACATACATACAGTACCTCCATCATTCTGATTTGGAGTTGTGACAATTCTGCAGCTCTGACCACCTCTCTCCCTCCTCCCTCCTCATCTTCCTCTGCGATGGCTAGCCTCTCCAGAGAACACGAGCTCAGCAGTTTCCTGGAGGTCTCGAGAGCCGACGCCATCTGCCCGTCCTCCCCCTGGGCCAACGCCTTCTCACACTCACTGCAGAGGTCCACTAAACTGTTCTTCTCATCCTACGCAACAGTTGGAGAGAAGATTATATGTTGTATAGTTGATTTTGCTTGCCTTGCCTTGCCTTTCTACCTCGTTACCAAGTTGTTGAGACATGCAATAGTAGCTGAGTTAAACACACATACAAAGCATAATAATTGGTGAGCAGATGCAAGTGAAAAATTTCAGTGGCTTTGCGAATATTTACATGCATTATTATTATTACGGTATGGACTACAAACATATATTATACGAGTTCAGATAATCACTGGTGTTTCCGCAATAAGCACTTTCTAATGGTATTCAAATTAATTTGCTAGATTGACTGAACATTTATTACGTAGTTATGCGTCAACTGTGTTTGGTACAGTAACGTGCGAGTTGTGTACTAATGCAAAAGCAAAAGGCAAACGAATCAGTACAATGTACACATGTATTGTGTCGTCACTGACGTGGGTGCTGATCCAGTCGTAGAGAGAGGAGGAGGAGGAGGGAGAAAGAGTGGTTTTGGCGGGAACTGGCAGCTGCTGTAACAACTTCACCTGCTCCGGGAAACTGCGAATAAGTATCGGAGATACAGGAGGTCTCAGCAGCGATGAAGATTGTATTTTTATAGTGCATATATTGAGGCCGACTGAGGCAGAAGAAACTCAAAGACCTCAAACACCGCTCCAAAGTGTCTAGAAAGTGACGGAAAAGGAACAAGGCGGGCAATCCAATTTTAAAGCACTGGCAATAGCACAAGCGTGGGGTGTCAATAATTTGCGCCATGGGGACACCAAAGTTTGTAAGGGGTTACTTGCGTACAATCATCATGAAACTGTGAAAGATGACAGAGTTACGTTTCACCTGTTGACGAGTTGTAGGTAGTGAGTTCGAGATGATTGGAAAATTTCGAGAACTCTAGAGAAATGCTGCTGATGTTTCTCGTACACCCTGCATTGAAAATATTCACATAACAGTCAGTTCATTGGTTTTAGCCAAGAGGCAATGGAGGACAGCTCACAACTCTCTACACTCACACAGAGAACACACTTATGTACATGACTGCTTGACTATATGTAGCTACAACAGATAAGGATCAAGTGGAAATCCCTCTAAGAAGACTGCAAATTGGGTTAATCTTTGCCCCGACGCCTCTTTCCACGTGACGAGAGGGTGGAGTTTGGGCGTGAGACTATATAGTGCTAACCCGATGATTCCGTGGCAGTTCCTGAGTACGGCGTTCCATCCGGATATCTGCAGCTGCGTGTCCTCTCTCACTGACTGGTACATGTTGAACAGACCACTGCTGCAGTCACTCACTTGCTGGAGAGAAGAGAGAGCATTCATACAGATAGTGGGCTCGATTCGCTCGCCAATTGCATAATCCTCCAGGGATCATCTTGTAGTAATAACAGCTAGGTGGTCCTCTTAGTGTTAAAATACCAAGTGTTGAGGTGTATGTCGCTTTAAGAGTGTTTGTATTAGGTAACTACTCAGGAGCACTACACATGGGCCCTACACACACTGCATGAATCACGAATGGTCGTACATTGAATTCTCGGTACATAACAGTAACTACTATAATTATATGTTCCACTGGATCGCAGTGTCGTATCCACACTTACACAGATATAATACCTTGGCAAGTGGAGGAAGTTTCTGGAAGAGACCTGGGTATGGCTTCTGGTTGAGAACGGCCAGTCCCCTCTCTAGGTCTGGTCCTGAGGTGAGGAGAAGAAGCCAACGCTTGAAACAAAGTTTTAGTGAAAAAATTTGAAAATTTTATGATTAACACTAAAAATTTGAAGCAGTATTTCGCATTGTATGTATGTGTGCATTGTACATGGCTCACTTGGTTTGAGGAGAGAGGGGAGAGAGGGAGGAGAAGGAGAGGAGAGATATCTCTGGTAGAACACAAATATTGGCTTCCCCTCCTAAAGAACGGTTGATACAAAGTTGGTCAGATTACACACCAGCCAAAGATGTCCAGACTAGGGCTTCTAATGCGGGTAGATTTGATCGAGTCACTGTCTAACTAATATTTAGGACAAGCTAACTAAGATGTGTCCTGAACTTAATCAGGACAGGGCCGCTGTGTCCTAAGATGCGTCCTGAAATGAGAATCAGGACAGGGCGTGCTCACCATGCCAGGGGAGTAAGCTCCGACTAGTTCCGAATCCTCCATCTGTCTGCCATCTGCAACCATCAGCACCACTCCCCCTCCTCCCTCCCTCCTCACACCCTCACACACCTCACCAACTCTGTAGGAGTATATACAGAGAAAGTGTAAATTGTATATTAGAAAATGGTTCAACAGTTGCAACTTTGAGCATTGCTCACTCTATACTTTTGTGCATGGCTTAGTTTGCATGATCGTGGTAGGTTACAATAACCAATGGTAGTATATACAGTAGATATTGCTCATAGTACCACAGAGGCTCTAAACCAAAACACACAGCCACAAAAATAGCTTATAGTATGCAGCTGTGGACATACTACACAAAAAACCTTGATTGTTACTTAACTTTGTTTGAGGCATGCTGCAGCTGCTGCCTGCTACTAGCCAAACAAGAAGCTGGGGATTTGTACAGTCATGTTCGTATTACGCACGCTACAAACACGCACACGTGTATAAAAGCCGCGCACACGGACCAACAGGCAGCTGCAGGCGCTCGCCCTCACCTGGAGTTGGGCGTCAGCTCTCCCTCCAGGTCCACGAACCGCCCCTCGTTCACCTGAAACAGCCTCAGCATCTCTGCAAGCTCTATAACCAGAGCAACTTTCTCTCTACTCCGTTGGTGGTTTTGACGTTCACTGACGACTCAGCAAAACGTGAGGTACGTGGGCGTGGCAAAATATATTGCGCATGCGTATCAGCGGCGGCCGTTTCTATTTGCGCATGCGCATAAGTTCTGGAAGCAGAGCGCTAGCGATGGCTGTGTGTTTGCTAAGAGAGGGGGAACGGAGGAGTACTCAGCCGCAGTCTCCCGAGACAAGGCGTCTTCCTCGAGTCACGGTTCTGAACCGGCCCGTGGTCGCAGCGCCGCACTGGCGCGGGGCTCTGCGGGCGCGCACGCCGACCCACGTATCGTACACCCAGCCAGAGAGAGAGGAAGTGTGGAAAGAGAGTTTCCAGAGGTGAGGGAAGACATCTGCTTGTTGAGGATGCAGCGAGAATCAATCAATCATCTTAGCCTGCAGCGTGCAGCTGACGATTGATCGCTGCTCGTTGCTAAGCATCCAAACATGTGGGCGGGGCTCAAATCGTACGTGGGAGTGTATTGACACGAACATTGAGGGCCAGCTAATAGGGATGTAGGGGATAATTATAGAACCAATGGAGGTCTAGGAGTATGCATGGCAAGAGCTGCAGAATGTGAATCACTAATTTTGCAACGTAAATCCATGCACAATTTGACAACCTAAAAAAATGTTATGTAATAATTGTTGTTTTGACCACTGCTACAGTTATAAGTGGGCAACACAAAATTGTAAGTTTATAATAATATGACTCTAATTGTCTCAACAGACGTAAAGTCCAGCAAAGTGAGTGTGGTTTTCATGGCCCCGCCCATCAACCATATAAGGATGTGGGGCACGTTGAACTGGACGACCCGACTCTAATACTGGACGGACTGGGTCAGAAACAGGACAAACAGGTATGATATTATCACTGGCACCAGAGCTTTGAAAATGGGAAGTACATTCAATAAAGGACACTTGGTTGGTTCTGCCCCACACTAATACTTAGGGACACCTCTCTATAAAGGACACTTGGTTCTGCCCCACACTAATACTTAGGGACACCTCTCTATAAAGGACACTTGGTTCTGCCCCATACTAATACATAGGGACACCTCTCTATAAAGGACACTTGGTTCTGCCCCATACTAATACATAGGGACACCTCTCTATAAAGGACACTTGGTTCTGCCCCATACTAATACATAGGGACACCTCTCTATAAAGGACACTTGGTTCTGCCCCATACTAATACATAGGGACACCTCTCTATAAAGGACACTTGGTTCTGCCCCATACTAATACATAGGGACACCTCTCTATAAAGGACACTTGGTTCTGCCCCATACTAATACATAGGGACACCTCTCTATAAAGGACACTTGGTTCTGCCCCATACTAATACATAGGGACACCTCTCTATAAAGGACACTTGGTTCTGCCCCATACTAATACATAGGGACACCTCTCTATAAAGGACACTTGGTTCTGCCCCATACTAATACATAGGGACACCTCTCTATAAAGGACACTTGGTTCTGCCCCATACTAATACATAGGGACACCTCTCTATAAAGGACACTTGGTTCTGCCCCATACTAATACATAGGGACACCTCTCTATAAAGGACACTTGGTTCTGCCCCATACTAATACATAGGGACACCTCTCTATAAAGGACACTTGGTTCTGCCCCATACTAATACATAGGGACACCTCTCTATAAAGGACACTTGGTTCTGCCCCATACTAATACATAGGGACACCTCTCTATAAAGGACACTTGGTTCTGCCCCATACTAATACATAGGGACACCTCTCTATAAAGGACACTTGGTTCTGCCCCATACTAATACATAGGGACACCTCTCTATAAAGGACACTTGGTTCTGCCCCATACTAATACATAGGGACACCTCTCTATAAAGGACACTTGGTTCTGCCCCATACTAATACATAGGGACACCTCTCTATAAAGGACACTTGGTTCTGCCCCATACTAATACATAGGGACACCTCTCTATAAAGGACACTTGGTTCTGCCCCATACTAATACATAGGGACACCTCTCTATAAAGGACACTTGGTTCTGCCCCATACTAATACATAGGGACACCTCTCTATAAAGGACACTTGGTTCTGCCCCATACTAATACATAGGGACACCTCTCTATAAAGGACACTTGGTTCTGCCCCATACTAATACATAGGGACACCTCTCTATAAAGGACACTTGGTTCTGCCCCATACTAATACATAGGGACACCTCTCTATAAAGGACACTTGGTTCTGCCCCATACTAATACATAGGGACACCTCTCTATAAAGGACACTTGGTTCTGCCCCATACTAATACATAGGGACACCTCTCTATAAAGGACACTTGGTTCTGCCCCATACTAATACATAGGGACACCTCTCTATAAAGGACACTTGGTTCTGCCCCATACTAATACATAGGGACACCTCTCTATAAAGGACACTTGGTTCTGCCCCATACTAATACATAGGGACACCTCTCTATAAAGGACACTTGGTTCTGCCCCATACTAATACATAGGGACACCTCTCTATAAAGGACACTTGGTTCTGCCCCATACTAATACATAGGGACACCTCTCTATAAAGGACACTTGGTTCTGCCCCATACTAATACATAGGGACACCTCTCCATAAAGGACACTTGGTTCTGCCCCATACTAATACATAGGGACACCTCTCTATAAAGGACACTTGGTTCTGCCCCATACTAATACATAGGGACACCTCTCCATAAAGGACACTTGGTTCTGCCATATACAGCTATTTAATATTACCTATTTATTCGGAGTGCTATCAGAGGTTCTATATTACCTCAAAATAAGGGACACTTATGAAAAAATGACACTTTTCCAAATGTTCCAAATGTGTCTGTGTTATACAGAGGTTTCATTGTAAGATGTGTCTCTCTCTCTCTCTCTCTCTGTTGCTGTAGCTGAGTGGTCCAAGATCACCCTCCCCTGCAGCTGCCACCCCCACTCACATCTCTCCACCTCCTCTCCCTCCTCCTCCTCCTTCTCGTCCTCCACTCAGATCTATGGCTCCACAGGTACATAATGGCTAAAACGAATGCAGTGCAGTTTTATTGAACTAAGTGATGTCAAACCACTATTTGTGATGTGTACGCATAGCACCTAGCTTTGTAGTCAGTTGTAACCTATGGAAATCCAGCGCAATTCAGTCACCTAGGTAGCTTCACTTTGATCACCATTTCTTTTCGAGACGTGAAAAAAATCTTTAACCTGAAACCTGTAGTTTGAGCATTGGTCAAGTGTAAAAATAATTTCCTTATAGAACATAGGTAATTCTGGTGTTTTTCTTTTATGCTATACCTCTTTCCCCTCTTCCCCTCTCCCTCCTTCCTCATCCCCTCTCCCTCCTTCCTCTTCCTCTCTCCCTCCTTCCTCCTCCCAGCTGCCCGATGATCTCTCTCTCCTACCAGAGGAGATGAAGGAAGGAGAAGGAAGAAGAGGGGAAGTGAAGGTTGGCAGAAGTCTCTCTGAATCTGTCTCTGCCAGGGAAACTGCCAAAGTAAGTACACATACAACACATACAGTAAAACCTCCGAATAGAGGACCCTCTGAATAAAGGACACCGATTATTATAAGTTTTGTATATTCTGCAGCAGGAAGCAAGTAGTGGGAAAGAAACTAAGTCTAGAGCACAAACTACAGATTGGCATCCTCCCGATGTGACCTTTGACCCCACCGTGTTGGGCCAGTAGACGTACGTCTGTTCACGTTGAGACACGCCCTTCGACCATGACCTTTGACCTGGCGACCAGTAGTCGTGGCAACAGGAGTCGGTCTGAGAGAAGAGGATCGCAACAAGTTGCCTTTGAAACCGGTTCCCACGACAACCTCGCTCATTCTGATGGTAGTCATGGCAACCACCAAACATTAACAAATCGACCTCTGACCCCTGGAGGGTGTGTCACTGAGGGAGGTGTGGAAGAGGTGGAGAGTAAGGGGGGAGAAGGGTGTGGGAGTGAGGTTTGTGAAATGGAGGTGGAGGGGGAGGGGGAAGAGGGAGAGGGAGAGAGAGATGGGGAGCCTGGTGCACAGCAGTCTGAACTTGTGTAAGTCTCTTTCTCTTCCTTTTTCTTGCTTGAGCCACCACCCATGATTCTCCCCCTCTCCCTTCCCTCCAGCTATCAGTGGTACCGGCAGCTCTGTGTCCTCCTGTGGGTGATGGACGGTCTCAAACTGGACTCCCTATCGCTCCTCTCTCCCTTTGCCAAGGTACCGTCCCATTCCCAGACCCCGTACAGTATCACAAACATAATCAGTGATATTTGTATGGGGAATCAAGCTGTATATAGGAAAAGACTCCTCTAATGACTATAATAATTGCTGTCAACAGCACACACCCAATTTCATTTGGAACTCTATCAGAGTACATACCATGCATTTCTCACGTTTGTACGTGACTGTGTATGGAAAACAAGCACTTATATAGTGTACATACATGTGGGCCGGGTAACGGGCACTCTGTGAATTTCACAGAGAGCATTTTCACCCAACACTTAACTAAACTTTGCCAAAGTTGTCGCTATTGGCCCATGTATCGGCACTTTTTAAAACAACAAATGCCTGGTTTTCGGCGTTCACGGTCACAACTTTACAACCCGTCCTCACCTTTTCGTGTGTGTTCTGTTGTGTCCTTCCCTCCCACCGCAGTGTTGGCAGTTGGACAGAGGTGGAGTGCAGAGGATCCATTCCCAGGCTGTCTCGCGGGGCCACACTCCCTCCAGGAACCAGCAACGATACAACCTCTGGAAAGACAACTCCTTCCCTCAGGTACAGACATACGTGACCCTGAACAGAGTGACATTTGGTGACAATCAGTCGACCGGCAAAAAAACACAATTTTAGTGTATAGCAGAGGCTCCTACAGCGGCGCACCAACATACAGTGGAACCTCAACAGACGATCGCAGCTGTAAGCTAGGTAGACCAAATGAGGCCGGGCACTGGACACTTAGTTCTGCCCCATTATAATTTGAAAGTTGAAGTCAAATCCAATGGACACACTGCATCAGTTGCAAATGTCGTGTAATTAAAGGGAATGTGGCAGTACAAAAGGACTAAATTTAGAAATGTTACTAAAGATAGCAATTAGTTTTAGTTTTTCAGTAACCGTTTTCAAATTTAGTTGTAATGTCTAGAAGCTCAAGGTTGTAAAACCATCTCTTGTAGACTACAGATGGATCTCCCCCCAAGAGTGGTACGGCAGAATTTAACCCTTTGAGTGCCCCTCGAAATGGTCACATGACTTCTGAGAGCCTCACTCCCTCAGCATATCGTGAGTGAAGTCTGCACCATATGTAATGTTGCTGCACACACAAACATAAAATTGAATTTGTGTGTGTTGTGCCAAAGTTACAAAAAATTTTTAACGGGATTTCCGTTCTTTTCGTGGCAAAATTGGATAAAACTTTCACGGATTGCTGGTTGCAAAATTTTCGCGGGTAGCTCATAGGCAGTGAAATTTGTGGAAGTGTCCCTCAAAGTTTTTCACGGGTAGCTCATAGGCAGTGAAATTTGTGGAAGTGTCCCTCAATTTTCCCCACTATATGTATATACACAGGAAGACTAAAGAGAGAAGCTGCCAGCAGAGAAGAGCAGAGGATGAGGCAACAAAAGAGACTCACCGTACGTTATGTGTACACAATCCATACATTGGACTATAATAATGTACAGTTGAACCTATGCAGTGAAAGGGCACCTCTGAATAAAGGACACTTTCAATGTCCTCAAAGTGTCTCTTATTCAGAGGTTGCACTGTATGGTATATCCTTTAGGCAGCACAGATGGAGGCACTGGTGAAATCAGTGGACGAAGAGTTAAATTTCTCCAAGAAAGCTGCTAAGGCACGAGTACAGAGTCTACAAGAGGCAGTGTGCGGCCCCTCCCACTCCTCTCCCTCATCCCTCCTCCCTCTTCCTCACCGCCAGCTGGGAGTGGAGAGAGTGAGGGAGAGATTCACTGAGACAGAGGTGACAAAGACAATGACAGTCCACCATCAACTCCTCGCCATGCAGAGGTACATATAGCCACACCCCTTTATTACATAACATTATTTATTACCATTGTATTGCGAACTAAGTTAATGATAATCATGTGACATCTTCCTCTAGTCACCTGCCTCCTCTCCCAGTCATGTGATATCATGTGACTTCCTCCCCCAGTCATGTGCCATCATGTGACAACCTCCCCACAGGGATCGCAGCAAGGCTCTGGAGCAGCGACTGGGCCACCTAGATGCCCACAGCTCTCTACGAAGGGACCTGTCTGTTATGAGACAGGGGGTCAAGATAGAGTCAACCTCTATGGCCAGAAATAAACTGCTCATGAACTTTAACTGGTGAGCCATTATTGCCACATTGCATGAACTGTAACTGGTAAACTACTGGTGAGCTCTATTACTGTTGTGGCAACAATGATATTTCACACATTATATGCTAACTTGATTCACAGCTCTTTTGGACTTAAACTGGTGACACCTTGTTAACCCCCAATGAATGATGATACAGTTATACAACCTCTCTCTCTAACACATGTCACCCCACAAAAATATAAAGGAGTATTAAAAAGGACCCTCGGAAAAAAGGACTCCTCTCTATAAAGATTCTGCCAGGAAACGTGATTCGGCAATCTATTTTCATTCCCGAAGGTTTCCTTTGAACCATAGCTCTCTTATTTAGAGGGTTAATGTTGGCAAACTATAATATACAGTAGCTCTCTAAACTTAATATTTACATCCTGTCACCATGCTGTTGAACTCTCATACTGCCATTCTGCCATTCCCAGGTTCCAGGACCTGTTGGAACGGATCCCGGACGAGGCGAGGGGTGACCGCTATTGTTCACGTCTCCTCTCCCTCCTCGCTGGCCACGCCCACCACTCCGCCCAAGTGGGACCCAACGAGTGGTCGAAGAGGAAGCTGATTGGTATTCTGTCGACCCTGAGACCGTGGGAGTTGAGGTGTCCGGAAACTGCTGCTGCAGTGAAGGTATATATCTCATCCTAGTGCCATTATTTAAAGGGAATGTGGCAGTATTAATGGCTAAATTTGGAAAATGTTGCTATAAAGGAACCTAATTACTGTCTATTCCACTACATACTGACACCCGGGAATACGTCTGCTCGCAACATCCCCCCCTTATACGTACACATTAGAGATTATATCTGTGGCGCAAGTTTTATTCAATACACAGGGTAGTCAACTGATACACTACAAGAATAATATTCAAAGATGAGTCATGTGTGCACACCACAGAGACATGTATTCATTCTGACAGGAGGTCATTTATTTTTGTCCATAGTTGCGTATGAGGTAGTTCAAGCCGTTCTCTAGTTGTGTTCAAAACAATCCATGTGGCTGCTATCAGAGGTACACACCTGCTATTGGGTCATCCATGCAGCACAAGTGATGGCGGAACCTCCCACACCCCAGGTTTCTGGCTCACTGCCAGCCACTACTGCTGTCAGGACCACTCACGTAGAACACAACCTCCCCATCACTGTACCTACTGCCAGTACCCTGCACGTGTACACCACAATACTACATCATGGACACAAACAAGGCGTGTTATGTAGTTCTCTATGTGTTTGTATACCCCCGGTGAGTGGAGAAAACTGTGACAGTCGGTGACTATTTGTGGGTCAGAATCATTTTCATTAATTTCGTTTGAATGTAGCCTGCTAAAGCCTTGTCCAGTTCAGGAGAAGGTGAGCACTGAACCCTATTACACTGATATCAGCTTTTGTGTCTGACGTTCTACCGACCACTGATGCTCTACCTGCGAAACACACCACAGCATTAATATCAAGTAAAAAAATTGAGCTTGCCTACAAACGTTTTGAGGAGAAAATACAAAGCACGAATGTACTGCACTCTTCTGCGCATTTTGTGGCAAACTGGACCATATGTACTTCCATGTCCATTCCTGGACTCAGCCGTTTTGTTACTCTGATGTGTTTAGTGAGCATAGGGATGCTCAGACTGCTTTGAGAATCCATGATAGCATTCCTATAGTAATGGGTTCCGTAATTTATACTACTTCACCATGTTAGATGGATGGTTATTAGTATATACTTATCACCTATGTTTTTTGTGCATAGAGGTTGCAGGAGTATTACATACATCCAGTATACACCATGCCACCAGGGCAGCTCTTCTTCATTTCTCTGAGCTCTCCGGGTGATAGTTGACTTGTTTGCCTTGCCTGCCTTTCTACCTTGCTACCAAGTTATTGAGACATGCAGTAGGTAGCGTTCCATGGCTCTGTGAACTCATGACTAAAGATGTCTTGATTGACTTTCACAACACATGCCGTAGTAGAGAACTAATGTTTGGAGTATGTGTATGCTGATCGCACCTTGGATTATAATATAGCGTCGAAAATTCTGATTGGGTTCCACTAACTCCCTACTGAGAGCTAGCTACTGCTGTCTTGTTTGTTTCTCTTCCACAAGATTTTTCCCGTCATGTCACAACCCATTCTTCATCAGCTCCACAAGTAAGAAGAAGTTACAGTATTTTGCTATGCATCTACACTATCTCCCCTGTGATAATTTGAGGGTTATCAGCATGAGATAATCATCATCAAAGGAAGTGCACAGTGAGTGATTATTGATAGATAAGTTTTCAATGAGAGCACACCACACAGCGTAGCGTCTCCTTCTACTATCATATGGTGGACACGACAACCAGAACAATGGGGTTCCACATGGTAGAGGAAAGCATTATCAAGACTATCACCATTTAGTCCAGCAATGGATTCGGGATCTTTGTCCACACATTCAAATGTGGAACGATGATGATCTGGACCATAGTATTCAGTCATCAAGTATCCAGTGTACTCTGTGGTCCAGTTTGTGGGGCAGTTGACTTTAGCTGGAATCATCAACAGTGTAGCCCGTGTTGTGACATGGCACACAGCACATGGAACATTGTGGGAATTAACAGTTTGTAACGGTTGAGAGCTGGATGGTAGATACTCCACTCCATATATGGGGCTATATCCTTGCACTCCACTAGTATACTGCAAGTGTTCAGGATCATCTGGCATACAGAGATGGTTGGCGCCCCCTCCTTGGTGACTATATCGACTCCCTCCAGCTCTCCCAGAGTACACCAGCTCAGTTCCCTGGCCACTGGGACAAACAGTCCTCCCCCAGCGAACATAGGCAGCTCCTCCCATGGCAAGAGGACCTGGGGCTCCTAGTGGTCCCTGAGGTCCAGGGAGTCCAGTGTCCCCGCGATCTCCTTTGTCACCAGTTCCTCCCTGAGGTCCCTGAGGTCCAGGCTGACCAGGGTCTCCACTGTCTCCCTTGCTTCCAGTCATCCCCTTGAGACCCACAATTCCCCGAGGTCCCGTTATCCCTCTCTCTCCCTGCGGTCCCTCGCTTCCCTTCTCTCCCTTATCTCCGCCCACTCCTGTAGGTCCAGGTGGACCAGGTGGTCCAGTTGGACCTCTCACTCCATCTCTCCCATCCCTACCTCTCAGTACCTCCACTTGGTGGACACTTACTTGACTACCGCCTGTGATGAGACCACACAGGCATCATATCTTAGTGCACATTGAATTCTCAGAAACTTGCTTCTCTCACCTTCATTTTGGGCAAAGGAAATAGAAAAAGCAACTAATAGAATCAAGGCACACTTTGGCAACTCCATCTTCTGTGAAAACTCGATATGACAGAAGCTCTCAGACGTGTGTATGGGGAGTAGGATATCCCTTTTATACTGGCAAGAAGCAGAGTCATTTTACGTCAGTGGATGTCATGGATTAGCTCTTAGGGAGACTTAGTTGTTTTAGGCAATGATCTTATCACAATATTTGCACTGAGCATATTGTGCAGGGAAAACAGAATTAGGATGTCTAAAGAAAAAAGAAAAAACGAGATGAGAAACAGACGCTCGGAGCTTGCTGCTCGCGATTGGCGAACCCACGCGGTCGATCTGAGAGGCGCGTGCCCTCACGTGCCTCAATACCCCATACCCCACTCACACACAACACCACACATGCACGTCCCTCTGCAGTTAACTCGGTCAAAAGGGGGGTTAAACCCAAAGTAGAAGTGTCAGTGGGTAAGAAGGTGTAATAAGTAATGTCCACATCTCTATTAGTGTTTGTGAACAACACGAGGACTCCAAAGCCTGCAACCCCACACACTGACAGAGGAAGATACTCTGTAGTAGTGGATGGCCCCAGCTTGAACCCACACTGAGGTTGACTGTCCTCCATGGGGAAGACCTCTCCATTAGTGAGTCTTATTGGCTCTATCTCTTGCCACAAGAGCATGTGGCAGTCCCAGCCAATGGACAGTAGAGTACTTGAACCAAGAGGGAGCAGGGACAATACAAATGAACAGTGACCTACAGAATGTTACAGTGAACACTACATACTGTAACTACATAAGCACCAGGGTTGCTTCAATTTAGTTACATGTGTACGGGACTTTGTTAGAATGTGTAGCATGGATAAGCAAACACAACATGTGTTTACATACTGTCTGTCCCAAGTGTAGGGGAGGTGAACTACAGAACTGAGACCAGTGATAGGCAGCAATATCACTAGGCAATGCTGGGAAAAGGAGCGATAACATCATGAGAGAGAGAGACAGAGTACTCTTGAGAACCACTGATAGAGAAACAGTGGGGGAGACAGTGTGTAAACAGCAGCTGGTTATCGATGCTCATGCGACTCTTGCGAGGTTCAGATGGTCTCGTACATTGTTACTAGGAGGATCTCTAACAAAACATTTTGTGCTCTCTTCTTAGCTGTCAGGGTGCTCAAGAGAGCAGCAGGACTGATCAAACTCTCACTCCAGTAAACTCTCTGGCTTACTAACAATGTGAGCCTATATTCACCTTCCCTGTTTTTCCCCCCTACCTAACAGAATCTCAAAGCTGCACAATCAATTTTTTGGATTCAATTACTCAAACAGCTGAGTCATGCTTTAAGAGGTCTGGTCTGACTTTGCAAGAGAGCACTGTAGAGATGGCTAAGTATAGTCTGGACCACATGTACTGTACAAACTTCCATGCAACTTGATCTCCTCTCCCTGCACTCAGCCACCACCATACTGTATACTCTGGTTACTCTGTGATCTTGATACTGCTGAACGTGAGTACTCTGCTTCCCTCTCTCATGATGTTATCCAAGCCTCCTGGGGCAAATGTACAATTGTGAGAGAGCAAGCCTTGACTCTCCTCTGCAGACACGTTTCCCATCCAATTCTCCTAACCCAGACAGACCTCTTAAGAACCATCCTACACAAAGGAATATTTGTGGCAAACAGTACCACATGTACTGTACAAACTTCGATGCAAGTTGATCTCCATTCCCTGGACTCAGCCATTTGTTATATACTCTGATTGTTGAATGAGCACAAGGAGAGCCCAATCCATGATAGCATTCCTATAGTCAATGGCAATGATCTAAGAATGTAACCACATTATGGATGGTGATTAGTCCTCATCACATAATTATATAAACCAACTAACTGTTTATTATGCAGGAGATTATACACATTTTAAGCAGTACTTCAAGTACACCATGCAGTAGGGTAGTGTTCCATGGCTCTGTGAACTCATGACTATCGATGTCTTGATGACTTTCACAACACATGCAAAATGCTTGTGAGTATATAGTCAGCTTAGCATTTGTGTAGGCTAATCACACTTTGGGAATATTAACGTAGCATCCTGATTGTCCACCAACTCCCCTACTGAGAGCTAGCTACTTGCTGTCTTGTTTGTTTCTCTTCCACAAGATTTTTCACGTCATGTCCACAACCCATTCTTCCTCAGCTCCACAAGTAAGAAGAACTTACATATGTAATGTGAACAAAGGAGTACAGTATTTTGCTTTGCTATCTACACTATCTCTCCCTGTGATAATTTTGAGGGTTTATCAGCATGAGATAATCATCATCAAAGGAAGTACACAGTATGTAATTATTGATAGATAAGTTTTCAACAAGAGCACACCACACAGGTGAGCTCCTTCTCACTATCATATGGAGGACAGGACAACCCAGAACAAATGGGTTCAACATGGTAGAGGAGAGCTTGATAGTCATTAGAACCATTTAGTCCAGCAACAGATTCGGGATCTTTGTCCACACATTCATATGTGGAACGATGATGACCTGAACGTTCAGTCATCAAGTATCCAGTTGTCTCTGTGGTCCAGTTTGTGGGGCAGTTGACTTTAGCTGGAATCATCAACAGTGTAGCCCGTGTTGTGAGATGGCACACAGCACATGGAACATTGTGGTAACGAACAGTTCGTAACGGTTGAGAGCTTAGTGGTCGATACTCAACTCCATACATGTAGCTATTTCTTTGTACTCCACTAGTATACTGCAAGTGTTCAGGATCATCTGGCATACAGAGATGGTTAGCACCTCCTCCACGGTGATCATATCGACTCCCTCCAGCTCTCCCAGAGTACACCAGCTCAGTTCCCTGGCCACTGGGACAAACAGTCCCCCCCAGCGAACATAGACAGCTCCTCCCATGGCAAGAGGACCTGGGGCTCCTTGTGCTCCCTGAGGTCCAGGCTGACCAGTGTCTCCACTGTCTCCCTTGCTTCCAGTCATCCCCTTGAGACCCACAATTCCCCGAGGTCCCATTATCCCTCTTTCTCCCTGCGGTCCCTCACATCCCTTCTCTCCCTTATCTCCGCCCACTCCTGTGGGTCCAGGTGGACCAGGTGGTCCAGCTGGACCTCTCACTCCATCTCTCCCATCCCTACCTCTCAGTACCTCCACTTGGTGGACACTTACATGACTACCTCCTGTGATGGGACCACACAGGAATCATATCTTAGTGTACATTGAATTCTCAGAAATTTGCTTCTCTCACCTTCATTTTGGGCAAAGGAAATAGATAAAGCAACTACTATTGTTGCTAGAATCAAGGCACACTTTGGCAACTCCATCTTCTGTGAAAACTCGATATGACAGAAGCTCTCAGACGTGTGTATGGGGACTAGGACACCCCTTTTATACTGGCAAGAAGCAGAGTCATTTTACGTCAGAGGATGTCATGGATTAGCTCTTAGGGATACTTAGTTGTATTAGGCAATGATCTTATCACAATATTTGGACTGAGCATGTACAATTGTGCAGGAAAAACACAATTAGGATGTCTAAGAAGTTTCAGTGGGTAAGAAGGTGTAATAAGTGATGTCCACATCTCTATTAGTGTTTGTAAACAACACGAGGACTCCAAAGCCTGCAACCCCACACACTGACAGAGGAAGATACTCTGTAGTAGTGGATGGCCCCAGCTTGAACCCACACTGAGGCTGACTGTCCTCCATAGGGAAGACCTCTCCATTAGTGAGTCTTATTGGCTCAATCTCTTGCCAGTAGAGCATGTGGCAGTCCCAGCCAATGGACAGTAGAGTACTTGAACCAAGAGGTAGCAGGGACGATACAAACGGAAGAGTGACCTACAAAATGTTACAGTGAACACTAGTACATAAGCACTAGGGTTGCTTCAATTTAGCTACATGTGTATGGGACTTTGTTAGAATTTGTAGCGTTGATAAGCAAACACGACATGTGTTTACATACTGTCTGTCCCAAGTGTAGGGGAGGTGAACTACAGAACTGAGACCATGATGATAGGCAGCAATATCACTAGGGAATGCTGGGAAAAGGAGCGATAACATCATGAGAGAGGAAGGCAGAGTACTCTGAGAACCACTGGTAGAGAAACAGTGGGGGAGACAGTGTGTAAACAGCAGCTGGTTATCAATGCTGCGACTCTTGCGAGGTTCAGATGGTCTCGGACATTGCTACTAGGAGGATCTCTAACAAAACATTTTGTGCTCTCTTCTTAGCTGTCAGGGTACTGAAGAGAGCAGAAGGTCTGTTCGGCTCACTCTAATCAACCCTCTAGCTACAGTAAAAGATACACTAACGATGTGAGCCTATCCATCTCCCCATTTCGTCAAAGCTCCACCATCCACATTTCAGGTGCAATTAAAAAAGGAACTGATGCAGATTATATGGTTTGCAAGAGAGCATTGTATCGATGGCTAAGTGTAGTCTAAACTGGACCACATGTAACTGTACAAACTTCCATGCAACTCTCCCTGCACTCAGCCATCAACATACTGTACTCTGGCGACTCTGATCTCGATATTACTGAATGAGAGTAGCTACTCTACCTCCCTCTCGTGATGTTATTGCTCTTTCCCAGCCTTCTCTGAGAAAGCAAACCTTTTCAAGCCTCCTGGGGCAAATGTACAATTGTGAGAGAGCAAGCCTTGACTCTCCTCTGCAGACACATTTCCTATCCAATTCTCCAAACCCAGACAGACCTCCTCACAACCATCCTACACAAAGGAATATTTGTGGCAAACTGGACCACATGTACTGTACAAACTTCGATGCAAGTTGATCTCCATTCCCTGCACTCAGTCATTTGTTATATACTCTGATTGTTTAATGAGCACAAGGAGAGCTAAATCCATGATAGCATTCCTATAGTCAATGCAATACCAATGTTCTAAGAATGTAACCTCACCTCATTATGGATGGTGATTAGTCCTCATCACATAATTTAACCAACTTTTAATTATGCATAGGTTGCAGGAGATTATACACATTTTAAGCAGTACTTCAAGTACACCATGCAGTAGGGTAGTGTTCCATGGCTCTGTGTGAACTCATGACTATAGATGTCTTGATGACTTTCACAACACATGCCATAGTGAGAACTTAATGTTTGTGAGTTAGTCAGCTTAGCGTATGTGTAGGCTAATCGCACCTTGGGAATATTAATGTAGCATCCTGATTGTCCACCAACTCCCCTACTGAGAGCTAGCTACTTGCTGTCTTGTTTGTTTCTCTTCCACAAGATTTTTCACGTCATGTCCACAACCCATTCTTCCTCAGCTCCACAAGTAAGAAGAACTTACATACGTAATGTGAACAAAGGAGTACAGTATTTTGCTTTGCTATCTACACTATCTCTCCCTATGATAATTTTGAGGGTTTATCAGCATGAGATAATCATCATCAAAGGAAGTGACACAGTATGTATATTATTGATAGTATGAGGTTTTCAACGAGAGCACACCACACAGGTGAGCTCCTTCTCACTATCATATGGTGGACAGGATAACCCAGTACAAATGGGTTCCACATGGTAGAGGAGAGCTTGATAGTCATTAGAACCATTTAGTCCAACAACAGATTCGGGATCTTTGTCCACACATTCATATGTGGAACGATGATGACCTGAACGTTCAGTCATCAAGTATCCAGTTGTCTCTGTGGTCCAGTTTGTGGGGCAGTTGACTTTAGCTGGAATCATCAACAGTGTAGCCCGTGTTGTGACATGGCACACAGCACATGGAACATTGTGGTAATTAACAGTTTGTAACGGTTGAGAATGTGGTCGATATTCAACTCCATATATGTAGCTATTTCCTTGTGTTCCACTAGTATACTGCAAGTGTTCAGGATCATCTGGCATACAGAGATGGTTGGCACCTCCCCCACGGTGATCAAATCGACTCCCTCAGCTCTCCCAGAGTACACCAGCTCAGTTCCCTGGCCACTGGGACAAACAGTCCTCCCCCAGCGAACATAGACAGCTCCTCCCATGGCAAGAGGACCTGGGGCTCCTAGTGGTCCCTGAGGTCCAGTTAGTCCAGTGTCCCCGCGATCTCCCTTGTCCCCATGATCTCCTTTTTCTCCATTAACCCCCCGGGGGCCTAACATTCCCTGCAATCCCCTCTCTCCCTGTGGCCCATTGGTTCCTGTAGGTCCAGGTGGTCCTGGTGGTCCAGCTGGACCTCTTCCTCCATCTCTTCCATCCCTACCTCTCAGTACCTCCACTTGGTGGACACTTTTTTGACTACCTCCTGTGATGGGACCACACAGGCATCATTTCTTAGTGTACATCAAATTCTCAGAAACTTGCTTCTCTCACCTTCATTTTGGGCAAAATAAATAGAAAAAGCACCTAATATTGTTGCTAGAATCAAGGCACACTTTGGCAACTCCATCTTCTGTGAAAACTCAATATGACAGAAGCTCTCAGACGTGTGTATGGGGGGACTAGGACACAGCTTTAACCCTCGGTGCGCATGCGCAGCGAGGGTTACGGTAGTTGGTTTGTCTCAGTCTCTGTGTGTGTCGACGCTTATTCTGGCACTACAGGCTACGAGGCGGCCAATTAGCGATACCAGCGGCTTCAGAACTACGCGAGCCTGAAAAATGAAAGGGCGTTTTTCCTGAAACGACTGCGTTCGAGAGATATGCCGTGAAAACAAGCGAAAAAGCCAATATGCATAATCGAATTAGGCTTTACTGCGACCTGATCCGCTCGCTCTGTGTACCCTGGAGGCACAAGAAGTCACAACGAAGGGCATGTATCGACTCCCGCATGCTATTTACTACCGTAGCTAGCCTGTGTCAGACTCTCCGCGCACTACTAGCGGGAGACCACGAGTAAACGCATACTACTAATAGCCCAGCCCATCAATTAGCAGTATCGCGCATGCGCAGTTCGCAGAGGGTTTGCACTTTAGTGCTTTTCATTTATACTGACAAGAAGCAGAGTCATTTTACGTCAGTGGATGTCATGGATTAGCTCTTAGTTGTTTTAGGCATTGATCTTATCAGAACATTTGCACTAAGCATGTACAATTGTGCAGGAAAAAACAGAATTAGGATCCTGTCTAAGAAGTCTCAGTGGGTAAGAAGGTGTAATAAGTGATGTCCACATCTCTCTTAGTGTTTGTGAACAACACGAGGACTCCAAAGCCTGCAACCCCACACACTGACAGAGGAAGATACTCTGTAGTAGTGGATGGCCCCAGCTTGAACCCACACTGAGGCTGACTGTCCTCAATGGGGAAGACCTCTCCATTAGTGAGTCTTATTGGCTCTATCTCTTGCCAGAAGAGCATGTGGCAGTCCCAGCCAATGGACAGCAGAGTACTTGAACCAAGAGGCAGCAGGGACGATGACCTACAGAATGTCAGAGTGAACAGTAGGAAGTTTACATACTGTAACCACTCAATCAGCTATGTATACAGGAAATGAAATTGGGGGAAGTATAAATTGTGCCACACGACTAAGCAAGCAAATCCTGTGAAACGTATCAAGGATTAATAATCGCGGGTAGCACTCTATAATTTGTATTACACTATGCTGGCCCTATAAATTTGAGTACATACCTCTTAACCAGTGGGTGTATATAGACAAATTTGTCAGCATCTACTGACTTGACTGTGAGGAGAGAAAATATTTTGACTGTGTGCTGTTACTGGTGATGTGGTCTCACAGTAAGAGAAGAGGGAGGACTGAGTGTTGGTAGGTCTGCTAGTGGCGGGAGACTGTCTCCTCTGCAGACAAATTCGTCAGCATCTATCTTATACCAATGCTTAAACATGTTCTATCCATCCCATTGGAAGAGACTGGAATAGGCTGTAGCTGCATTATTGGCAAGCAAAGCTAGCCATCCTAGTCCTCTCAATGCGAATTTTTTCTGTATATGTATGGGCACTGACGCACATACTGTAACGTTGTTTGTGATTCTAAATACACATGAAATGCGTGAAAAATCAAACTGCTCGCTTCACTCACCAAAAATACCTTGCATTCCTCTAGTAGAGATTCTCACTTGCTTAGCATGACTAGTAGATAAACACTAGAATGAACGCAATGCATTTTTTCGCTAGTGAAAATATCAGGAGTTCAATTTTCGCAAGTGTATTTAGAATCATTAAGTACCACACAATTCAGATGACCAGATGTAGAGCCTGTTTCACTCACTATTACTTTTTATAAACTCATTCCGTATGATTGTATGAGTTACGGAGCCACCACATCCTCTGTCTGTGAACTGTTGTGCATGCGTGCATGGCGAATGTGCATTGCAAATTTAACATCACTCAAAGTGGCTGTGCCACTATACTCACTAGTACAACATGAAGTACGTGCTTCTACATGCATAACAGTCTTGTAGTGGTGCATCTATGTGTATAACAGTCTTGAAGCAATCAGCAAGTTCAGCGAGAGCAGACCACACAGGTGAGCTCCTTTCCATTGTCGCGATACAGAGGGCAGTAGTCTCCAGTGCAGACTGCCTCCACGTGGTAGAAGAGAGCATCATCAGAACTCTGCTCACTGCTGGTGCCTGGAACAGTCTCAGGGTCCCTGTCCACACACTGGTACGTCGAGCGATGGTTGTTGGAGTGTGAGGTCATGAGGTAGCCATTGTACTCCATAGTCCAGTTAGTTGGGCAGTTGACATTGGCTGGGATCATGACCACTGTGTCTCGTGTGGTGGTGTAGCACAGAGCACACGGAACGTTGTGGTTTTCAACACTGGACAGTGAGCTATTGTCTCCGGCTCGATACTCCACTCCATGTAGGGGAACTCCCTGGTTCCCACTGGTGAACTGAAGGTACTCGGGAGCGTTTGGCATGCAGAGATGGTCAGCCCCTCCATCTGTCCCTCCAGCTCTCCCAGAATACACTAGTTGAGTTCCCTGGTCAATGGGACACACAGTCCTCCCCCAGCGAACATAGACAGCTCCTCCTGTGCCTGAGAAAACTGGTGCTCCTTGTGATCCAGGGACTGGTGTGCCATCACATTCACAAGTTCCATGATCTCCCTTCTCTCCATTCTCTCCTGGTATTCCTGGTTTACCAGGTGTTCCCGGCCGTCCAACTGCCCCAGGGTATCCAGGTAAACCGTTTCTCCCAGACAAACCACGTGGACCTTGTGGGCCTGGATCTCCATGTTCTCCTGGTGGTCCTTTAAGTCCCTGTGTACCTTCATCTCCTTTCTCCCCACGTACTCCCTGGCTTCCTCTGTCCCCCTTTGCTGCTCCTGCCTCCCCTTTTTGTCCTTTCACTCCTTCACCTCCAGGGTCTCCTTGTGGTCCAGGGTACCCTCTCTCTCCTGGTTTTCCTGTTAGTCCTGTTGGTCCTGTTGGTCCTTGAAACCCTCTCTCTCCTGTTGGTCCTTGAAACCCTCTCTCTCCTGTTGGTCCTGGAATCCCTCTCTCTCCTGTTGGTCCTGTTGGTCCTTGAAACCCTCTCTCTCCTGTTGGTCCTTGAATCCCTCTCTCTCCTGTTGGTCCTGTTGGTCCTTGAATCCCTCTCACTCCTGTTGGTCCTGTTGGTCCTTGAAACCCTCTCCCTCCTGTTTGTCCTGTTGGTCCTTGAATCCCTCTCTCTCTCCGGGTTCTCCTTTCAGTCCCTGAGCTCCAATATTCCCTGGTTGTCCAGGGAACCCTACATCTCCTGGATCTCCTTGAGCTCCAGTATTTCCAGTTGGGCCTGGTAATCCTATATCTCCCTTCTCACCGTTCTCTCCTGTAGTTCCCTTCACACCTCTCCGGCCCGGTGCCCCTTCCATCCCTGGAGATCCAGGTGGACCTACTGGTCCAGGTGGACCTAGTCCTGGTCCAGGGCAGCAACTTTGTCTTGGAGATCCTCCAGGTCCTGCAATCCCTGGAGATCCAGGTTGACGTTCTGGGGGGCGAGTGGGGCAACTTTTTCCTGGAGATCCTCCAGGTCCTGCATTTCCACTTCGTCCCTTTTCTCCTGCTTCTCCTTTTATAGGCCCACTTGGTACTGGTGATGCATCTGTTCATTTATATAGTCAAACATCACTAACACTCTGCAGATGCATGCAATTAGTCAGTAAAGAACACCTTCATTCTTCCTTACGTTGAGAAAAGGAGACAGCGATTACTGCTGCTAGAAGTGTTGCCACAATTAAGGATCTGAGAAGGAATGGCATGATTACAGCTCCAATCCACTAAGTCTCTCACAGAACCACTGCTACTCTATAGCCAAACTCTGGTATGAAGTAGCTACATTGACTTGACTATTGTTTCTGGGACACTCCCTCGTGATAACATTGTGTGTTCCACACAATTGGTAGCTATAAGCCTCACCTTAAAAGCATACTACCATAGTATGCTTTCTTTTCCTTCTCTCCACTCCCATATTATTATTCCCACAGTAACACAGCACACTACTGTGCAGTTGATGTGGCAGGTAGTATGGTCTGTTACTATAATACAGAATGTCCTCAACATTCTAGTTGTCATGAGATTGAACAGGAGTTGATACATGCACATATTGGTAATTGTGGGGCAGTTTATCAACGTGAATGGATCAAGGTCGTCATCTGTTCATATGTTTGTGTGTGTGTGTGTGTGTGTGTGTTTTGGAGGGAATCCAATCACATTTCTTCTCTGGCTCTGACTGTAATAGCTCATGCTAGCCAACAGCATTGGAGTCTTGTGCTTTTCTGCATGTGGCTTTCAGTTTTGGTTCATCCCAAGCCATCAAGGTAAGGCATCATGGTTGCACTTTAGTGGCTCTCTGTATGTATATACCCAATAATATGAAAAGTATGTTTGTAGCATACTAGCCATATGCACACGAAGCTCCGCCAAGCAGCCGTTGTTTGAACCCGAAGCAACATGGCGGTCAGAAGCAGCAAATTGAATGCTGAATCATGCAAACTTTGGCTGTCTAAACTGTTCCAGACATTTTCAGAGGAGGCACGACATTGCAAGACACAACAGCACACCCTAGTGGTCACACCCCGGATGGACACCCAGGGGCAGAAAAGCATCAACCTTCGGTGGATTTCTTTCAAGATTTGAGGTATGTGTGTGGTTTAGCCACAATCTTCTTGAGCTAAGGACTGTGTGGGACATAATGAGGACATAGATATAACATACCCGACATTACTTAGTTACGTAACATGTTATTGGCGAGCGAAGCAAGCCTACCTAGTTGTTTCAATGGCGGGAATTTTCTATACAAGTGGAAAAATCATTTCTTCAAAATAAAAGGGGGGATATAGGGATGGCTTGAAGCACCAAAAAGGAAGAAACAAGGGGTCATTACACAGCAAAGTTGCACAAAGCTACATGACACCATCCCTATATCTTTGTTTTATTGTTTATAAGCAAAGTTTAATATTGAACAAAGATATAGGGATGGTGTCATGTAGCTTTGTGCAACTTTGCTGTGTAATGACCCCTTGTTTCTTCCTTTTTGGTGCTTCAAGCCATCCCTATATCCCCCTTTCATTTTGAAGAAAAGATTTTTCCACTTGTTTCCGCTATTTTTAACAGCTAATGACAACACTGCATTTACTCTGATGTTCATGGGTATGTTGTAGATATGACAAATTGTGAACGTAGTAGCTAATGGGGCTGCTAGTGCCTGAAGCAGGGGCTAGATACAGCGTTCACCTCATGTTTTGTCTTCAACAAGGATGTAATTAGATTAGTTGTGGTTTCACGGGCAGGCTTTGGTAATCAGGCTAAAACCTGGGGGGGGACAAACAATGAAGGCCCATTTGACTGAGCGCCCCGCGTAACACAGCGCAGACTCTGGCAAGTTGCTCTTCGTGCAAATCAACAGCAAGCTAGCCAGTTGGAAATGTACACACTTACTTACGAAAGGTACTGGAGGCTGAGAGTTCTGCCAACTCGCCTCGTATATAGAATACGCACGCAAGCGCATTGGACATCGCCCCTACCTGGCGCATGCGCGCGGCTGACTGGTGCTGAGTTAGCAGCAAATGGCGTTCTTCAGTGTCGACCATTTGAAGAGCTCCACGATCTACCGTAGTGACTAGCGGCAAGAAAGAAACGGTCGCTTGATATCCGTGCACACCTCCGGCGAAATTGGAGACCTTCAGTGAAAAAATCAGTGCTTGAACTGGTACTGGTAAGGAGATAGCGGGTTTAAAGAAGAAGAATTATGATGATGACACGAAAATCGTGAAAACGCGTAAGAGCGAATTCTCTCGTGGACGCCTGAAGGTGCGTATGAGGTCTTGGGGGACATATATAGGTAGATATGGGCCCGTAGACTATTGCTAGTATGTTTTTAAGGCCTAGGGAGTGATTCTCACCGAGTTTTTAGTCGTTTTGTACGCGGATCACGTGAGATTTCACCCGTGTCGATCACCGCACCCGTGTCATCCCTATATAGAGAGTCTACCGACTCTCTAATAAACTATCGGTCGGGCGCTCTCACTACCGTAATATGTTCTATGACACCCTTTTTTAGGGTGATAGTGTGTTTTGGGCGAGATAGGGATAGGTGCAGCAAGACATGTTGCACATGAAACGCATGAAAAATGTAACTGCTCGCTTCACTCGCCAAATATGCATTCCTCTAGTAGAGAAATCTCGGTTGCTTAGCATGACTAGTAGATAAAAACTAGAATGAACGCAATGCATTTTTTGGCTAGTGAAAATATCAGGAATTCAAGCGTATTTGGAGCCACCACATCCTTGCCTGTGAACTGTTGTGCATGCGCGCATGGCGAATGTGCATTGTAAATTTAACATCACTCAAAGTGGCTGTGCCACTATACTCACTAGTACAACATGAAGTACTTGCTTCTACGTGTATAACAGTCTTGGGGTGGTGCATCTACATGTATAACTGTCTTGGAGCAATCAGCAAGTTCAGCGAGAGCAGACCACACAGGCGAGCTCTTTTCCATTGTTGCGATACAGAGGGCAGTAGTCTCCAGTGCAGACTGCTTCCACGTGGTAGAAAAGAGCATCATCAGAACTCTGCTCACTGCTGGTGCCTGGAACAGTCTCAGGGTCCCTGTCCACACACTGGTACGTCGAGCGATGGTTGTTGGAGTGTGAGGTCATGAGGTAGCCATTGTACTCCATAGTCCAGTTAGTTGGGCAGTTGACATTGGCTGGGATCATGACCACTGTGACTCGTGTGGTGGTGTAGCACAGAGCACACGGAACGTTGTGGTTTTCAACACTGGACAGTGAGCTATTGTCTCCGGCTCGATACTCCACTCCATGTAGGGGAACTCCCTGGTTCCCACTGGTGAACTGAAGGTACTCGGGAGCGTTTGGCATGCAGAGATGGTCAGCCCCTCCATCTGTCCCTCCAGCTCTCCCAGAATACACTAGTTGAGTTCCCTGGTCACTGGGACACACAGTCCTCCCCCAGCGAACATAGACAGCTCCTCCTGTGCCTGAGAAAACTGGTGCTCCTTGTGATCCAGGGGCTGGTGCTCCTTCACATTCACAAGTTCCATGATCTCCCTTCTCTCCATTCTCTCCTGGTATTCCTGGTTTACCAGGTGTTCCCGGCCGTCCAACTGCCCCAGGGTATCCATGTAAACCGTTTCTCCCAGACAAACCACGTGGACCTTGTGGGCCTGGATCTCTAGGTTCTCCTGATGGTCCTTCAAGTCCTGGTTCTCCTTGAGATCCAGGTGAGCCGTCTCGACAGCAGGGCCCCGCGGTCCTTGGGACCACCTCCCCTTGTCTCTCGATCCTCGGGCCTCTTTCTCCCTTGTTTCCAGGTTGTCCCAACTCTCCCTTTTCTCCAAACGTTCCTGTTTCTCCCTGAATTCCCTGGTGTCCTTTCACTCCCTTGTCTCCTGCTGTTCCATTCAGTCCCCAATTTCCTTTTCTCCAACCATTCCTTTTTGTCCCATATCTCCTTCATATCCGTTATCTCCTTTCTCTCCTGTGACCCCAATCCATCCGGGTTGTCCCTGTATTCCTTTGTCTCCCTTTTGTCCTCTATTGCCCTTTGGTCGTAGAGGTCCAGGGTCTCCTTGTGGTCCAGGGTACCCTCTCTCTCCTGGTTGTACTGGTGGGCCTCTTTCTCCTATAGGTCCTGCAATCCCTGGAGGTCCTGTATCTCCTCCTTGTCCCTTTTCTCCTGCTTCTCCTTTTATACCTTTCCAAGACCAACTTGGTACTATATAATGAAACATAACTAACACTCTGCAGATGCATGCAATTAATCACTAAAGAACAACATCATTATTCCTTACATTGAGAAAAGGAGACAGTGATTACTGCTGCTAGAAGTGTTGCCACAATTAAGGATCTGAGAAGGAATGGCATGATTACAGCTCCAATCCACTAAGTCTCCAGAACCTCTGCTAATTTAGCTGAGAGCCTAACTCTGGTATGGAATATATACTAGACTTGACTATTGTTCCAGACATCTGCTGGGACACTCCCTCATGAGGGAGGAAGGCAGAGTACTCTGAGAACCACTGGTAGGGGGAGACAGTGTGTAAACAGCAGCTGGTTATCGATGCTGCGACTCTTGCAAGGTTCAGATGGTCTCGGACATTGTTACTAGGAGGATCTCTAACAAAAACATTTGTGTTTCTCTTCTTAGCTGTCAGGGTGCTGCCACGGGGGGCACTTTCTCCTGGAGGTCCAGGTTGACCTACTCGGCCAGGGAGGGCAATTTTCAAAAAAGCATCAACCTTCAGTGGATTTCTTTCAAGATTTAAGGTATGTGTGTGGTTTAGCCACAATCTTCTTGAGTTAAGGACTGTGTGGGACATAATGAGGACATAGAGATAACATACCCGACATTACTTAGTTACGTAACATGTTATTGGCGAGCGAAGCAAGCCTACCTAGTTGTTTCAATGGCGGGAATTTTCTATAATATTATATATATGTTTATAACTATCGGTCGGGCGCTGTCACTACCGTAATGTTCTATGACACCCTTTTTTAGGGGGATAGTGTATTTTGGGCGAGATAGGGATAGGTGCAGCAAGACATGTTGCACATGAAACGCATGAAAAATGTAACTGCTCGCTTCACTCGCCAAAAATGCTTTGCATTCCTCTAGTAGAGAAATCTCGGTTGCTTAGCATGACTAGTAGATAAAAACTAGAATGAACGCAATGCATTTTTGGCTAGTGAAAATATCACGAGTTCAAGCGTATTTGGAACCACCACATCCTCTGCCTGTGAACTGTTGTGCATGCGCGCATGGTGAATGTGCATTGTAAATTTAACATCACTCAAAGTGGCTGTGCCACTATACTCACTAGTACAACATGAAGTACGTGCATCTACGTGTATAACAGTCTTGTAGCGGTGCATCTATGTGTATAACTGTCTTGGAGCAATCAGCAAGTTCAGCGAGAGCAGACCACACAGGCGAGCTCTTTTCCATTGTCGTGATACAGAGGGCAGTAGTCTCCAGTGCAGACTGCCTCCACGTGGTAGAAGAGAGCATCATCAGAACTCTGCTCACTGCTGGTGCCTGGAACAGTCTCAGGGTCCCTGTCCACACACTGGTACGTCGAGCGATGGTTGTTGGAGTGTGAGGTCATGAGGTAGCCATTGTACTCCATAGTCCAGTTAGTTGGGCAGTTGACATTGGCTGGGATCATGACCACTGTGTCTCGTGTGGTGGTGTAGCACAGAGCACACGGAACGTTGTGGTTTTCAACACTGGACAGTGAGCTATTGTCTCCGGCTCGATACTCCACTCCATGTAGGGGAACTCCCTGGTTCCCACTGGTGAACTGAAGGTACTCGGGAGCGTTTGGCATGCAGAGATGGTCAGCCCCTCCATCTGTCCCTCCAGCTCTCCCAGAATACACTAGTTGAGTTCCCTGGTCAATGGGACACACAGTCCTCCCCCAGCGAACATAGACAGCTCCTCCTGTGCCTGAGAGAACTGGTGCTCCTTCACATTCACAAGTTCCATGATCTCCCTTCACTCCATTCTCTCCTGGTATTCCTGGTTTCCCAGGTGTTCCCGGCCGTCCAATTGCCCCAGGGTATCCAGGTAAACCATTTCTCCCAGACAAACCACGTGGACCTTGTGGGCCTGGATCTCCTCCTGATGGTCCTTTAACTCCTGGTTCTCCTGGAGATCCAGGTGAGCCGTCTCGACCAGCAGGGCCCCGCCGCCCTTGGGATCCAGCCTCTCCCTTGTCTCCTCGTAATCCTCGGTATCCTCTTTCTCCTTTGTCTCCAGGTTGTCCCAACTCTCCCTTTTGTCCCGGTGGTCCTCGGTATCCTGATGGTCCCTGTATTCCTTTGTCTCCCTTTTGTCCTCTATTGCCCTTTGGTCCTAGAGGTCCAGGGTCTCCTTGTGGTCCAGGGTACCCTCTCTCTCCTGGTTGTACTGGTGGGCCTCTTTCTCCTATAGGTCCTGCAATCCCTGGAGGTCCTGTATCTCCTCCTTGTCCCTTTTCTCCTGCTTCTCCTTTTATACCTTTCCAAGACCAACTTGGTACTATATAATGAAACATAACTAACACTCTGCAGATGCATGCAATTAATCACTAAAGAACAACATCATTATTCCTTACATTGAGAAAAGGAGACAGTGATTACTGCTGCTAGAAGTGTTGCCACAATTAAGGATCTGACAAGGAATGGCATGATTACAGCTCCAATCCACTAAGTTCCAGAACCTCTGCTAATTTAGCTGAGAGCCTAACTCTGGTATGGAATATATACTAGACTTGACTATTGCTCCAGACATCTGCTGGGACACTCCCTCATGAGGGAGGAAGGCAGAGTACTCTGAGAACCACTGGTAGGGGGAGACAGTGTGTAAACAGCAGCTGGTTATCGATGCTGCGACTCTTGCAAGGTTCAGATGGACTCGGACATTGTTACTAGGAGGATCTCTAACAAAAACATTTGTGTTTCTCTTCTTAGCTGTCAGGGTGCTGCCAGGGGGGAGGGGGGGGCACTTTCTCCTGGAGGTCCAGGTTGACCTACTCGGCCAAAATTTAAGGTATGTGTGTGGTTTAGCCACAATCTTCTTGAGTTACGGACTGTGTGGGACATAATGAGGACATAGAGATAACATACCCGACATTACTTAGTTACGTAACATGTTATTGGCGAGCGAAGCAAGCCTACCTAGTTGTTTCAATGACGGGAATTTTCTATAGTATTATATATAATGTTTATAACTATCGGTCGGGCGCTGTCACTACCGAATGTTCTATGACACCCTTTTTTAGGGGGATAATGTATTTTGGGCGAGATAGGGATAGGTGCAGCAAGACATGTTGCACATGAAACGCATGAAAAATGTAACTGCTCGCTTCACTCGCCAAATATGCTTTGCATTCCTCTAGTAGAGAAATCTCGGTTGCTTAGCATGACTAGTAGATAAACACTAGAATGAACGCAATGCATTTTTTGGCTAGTGAAAATATCAGGAGTTCAAGCGTATTTGGAGCCACCACATCCTTGCCTGTGAACTGTTGTGCATGCGCGCATGGCGAATGTGCATTGTAAATTTAACATCACTCAAAGTGGCTGTGCCACTATACTCTCTAGTACAACATCAAGTACTTGCTTCTACATGCATAACAGTCTTGTAGCGGTGCTTCTACGTGTATAACAGTCTTGGAGCAATCAGCAAGTTCAGCGAGAGCAGACCACACAGGCGAGCTCTTTTCCATTGTCCCGATACAGAGGGCAGTAGTCTCCAGTGCAGACTGCTTCCACGTGGTAGAAAAGAGCATCATCAGAACTCTGCTCACTGCTGGTGCCTGGAACAGTCTCAGGGTCCCTGTCCACACACTGGTACGTCGAGCGATGGTTGTTGGAGTGTGAGGTCATGAGGTAGCCATTGTACTCCATAGTCCAGTTAGTTGGGCAGTTGACTTTGGCTGGGATCATGACCACTGTGACTCGTGTGGTGGTGTAGCACAGAGCACACGGAACGTTGTGGTTTTCAACACTGGACAGTGAGCTATTGTCTCCGGCTCGATACTCCACTCCATGTAGGGGAACTCCCCTGGTTCCCCACTGGTGAACTGAAGGTACTCGGGAGCGTTTGGCATGCAGAGATGGTCAGCCCCTCCATCTGTCCCTCCAGCTCTCCCAGAATACACTAGTTGAGTTTCCCTGGTCACTGGGACACACAGTCCTCCCCCAGCGAACGTAGACAGTTCCTCCTGTGCCTGAGAAAACTGGTGCTCCTTGTGATCCAGGGGCTGGTGCTCCTTCACATTCACAAGTTCCATGATCTCCCTTCTCTCCATTCTCTCCTGGTATTCCTGGTTTACCCAGGTGTTCCCGGCCGTCCCAACTGCCCCAGGGTATCCATGTAAACCGTTTCTCTCCCAGTCAAACCACGTGGACCTTGTGGGCCTGGAT